TGAACATCACAGAACAGAACCAACTTGTTTAATTGAAACAGCTGTTAAGATTCAATAATTTCATTTCTCATAAGGTTAACATGGGCTTCCAGAAATTCCACGTCAAAAATCGACAAAAACTTGATTTTCAAGGGTTTACTGTTAAATATCTAACTGTCTCATATTCGATGAAATACGTCTAAAACCATCTCATATATGTATAGTATTTGGAAAATAAGTTTCAGGCGGGACAGTGCTATAGTTATTGAGGAGTAGTTGTAATAAAGTGCGTATTTTAGCGTTACCAAGAGAATGACAGATAGACAGACAGACAGACAGACAGACAGACAGACAGAAATTGAGATAAGGTTTGATTCGGTTTCTCTGACCTATGAAATGTAAAAATAACCAAAAAGTTCATTATTCTAAGCAATGTACAGACAAAACTCTAATTTTATTTATATAGATTGTTTTTGTTACATCATATAATCACTTCTACATACATACATGAATCCTTTTATTTAATATTGTTCCTTTTGTAGAGTTTACTGTGTTTTATGGATCAATTTGATATTTTGTTTGTTTGTGCCATTTGAGTGTTGTTATTTTACTTTATTACGTGTTATATATCTATAGTTCGATGTTTCCTATTTTAAATAAAGCTCTTTTTAGTAAATGTTTACTTGTATTTCTCATTTACCTAATTTGATCTCAAATTATCTTTTGTCTTCTCAAACCTATCAAGGTGTAAACAGTTTATTTTGAGATAATATACCATGTGAAAGACTGAGGTACTAAACAGTACGACACACGACACGTGCACAAGCCATATGCTAAACTCCAAGAATAGACATGCCAATCACATGCTAATAAATTACTTGATAATTAGCCTGTAAAAGCTGGCAATTTAATTCATATACAGAGGCGTGCAAATGTAGGTATACAGTAATAAAACATGTTATAAAAAAATATCTATATAATTAATACGCTACATGAAACTTTGTCGGTTGAACTCCTCCGCCATTTCTTAACCGATTTTATCCATTGACGTCTCATTGGAAAGAGCGTGTCGCGTAGATTTGCAAACTGGCCTTACTTTTTTTGAAAAAGTCCCTTGGGCTTTTCCCCAGTGGCTTTTAAAGTTCCCATGTTATCCTTATGAAGAACATAATTGTTTACATTTTGATCAGCTGTATAGTTTAATTGCTGTTATTTATTTTTCAATCCTATGAAACGGGGTCTGACTTAGGGGAGGTACAAATGAGGCATTTAGTTCAAAATTCCTCCGTGAACAGCGCTGTAGTAAAAAGCACTTTGGCAATGAAGGTTTACTAATCGCAAAAATAGTTCTGTTCATAAAATAAAATTATAAATGCCTAAAATTCAATTTTATTAATTTTTAATTATAAAATTAAACTATCATAACCTAACCGAACTAACCAAACTTGCTGATAAAGAAATAATATAACAAAAGTTTATAGTAATCGGAAAAATAATTCTGTTTATAAAATAAAACTAGAAATTGCTCAATTAAAATTTTATAATGACTTAATAATAAAATTAAACTGTAATAACCAAACCAAACCAACCAAACTTGCTGAAAATAAAAAAAATCTTGGACAAAAAGTTAATGCCACCGGCGGGATTCGAACCCGGGACCTTCAGTATATCAGCCCGGCACGCTAACCATTAGACCACCGAAGCCGATGGCTATCGATCGTTTTGTTACGGTAATGGCGTTCCCTCAGCTAATAAGAAGCCCTCAGCTGTCATCGTAGCCTCTTCTATACCTCCCCTGAGTAAATACCTATGAAACGCATTGAGTACATTTATTTACTATTTGAGTTTGTGTAAACATAACCCCCAAGACGGATCGTGTTAGTATGGTTGTATCTTAAATTTGTGTATTTATCGTTGTTTTGTGTCGCTATGACGGATCGTGTTAGCATGATTATTACTTAAATTTGTGCATTTATCGTTGTTTTGTGTAGCTATAATTTGTTTATTTGTTGTTTTTTTTTTCTTTTAAATGCCTCCGACGTGACGACAACGAAACATAGACAGGAGGCGCAATCGTGATAACGACCGCAGCTACAGAACGGTGGCGCGTAATAGGCTTAAAGTCAGCACCTGACCCTGGACAATCTCAACTATTAGGTTAAACATGCGCCGGCCCTAATACTACCCCAAACGACTTTACGTTTTCAATTGGCCCTCTATCAATGACCTGTGTTGCCTGTACAGCGAGGCATTTTGAGAAGGAGAAAACCGGCCGGAATGCTTTAGGTTTATCAATAACGAAGATAAACATAGTTTGAGTTACACACCGGTGATCTTTGAGTTGACTCTTTTAAACTCATTGTAAATATGACTGTTATTCTTTTTTAAATAACTCCTGTAATGCTTTAGAATTGCTCGAATTCGAGCAACATGTACACTAGTATACATTAAAAGAAAAACCAAACTTTTCCAATTCATTTGAGAAGTATTAAGACACCTAAATCAACACATAAAAATGTAGTACTTGACTAAAACACCTACTTCCTTGTTTGTTGAAACTGTTAGATTGTTTGTACTGTATACCTACTTTTGCACCCCTCTGTATACTAGAGGACCCGTGCCGCTCCGCAGCATTGAAATTAATAATAAAAATAAAATACTAAACTTAATAATGATGACAAAACTTTAATAAAACTATTAGTGCTGCCAGATTATTTTTGCTGCAGGGCCAAACTAAAGTATAACACATGCCATGGATTCTGAAGATATAAGGACCATAATTCGGTGGTAGAGGTCTACTTCAGCACCAAAAGAAACAAATATGGCATTGCATTATTGTACTGCCTTATTTTTTCTCAAAAGTTTTTAGATTTTTCATAATTTCCAGTAAACAGTTTATAATTTCCTTCCTCCTAAAATCGTCCCGATGTATTTTTTCCCGCTTTGAAATACAATTCAGAGCAATGTCCATACATTTCCTGAAGGCCACCTACAGAGAAAGCACAGGTATTTACTCAGGGGAGGTATAGATGAGCTTACGATGACAGCTGTGGGCTTCTCATTAGCTGAGGGAACACCATTACCGTAACAATACGGTTTGCAGCCTTCGGCCTCGGTGGTCTAGTGGTTAACGTGCCGGACTGATATGCTGAGATTCCCGTGTTCGAATCCTGCTGGTGAAACCAACTTTTTGACTAAGTTTGGTTGGTTTGGTTCGGTTATGACAGTTTAATTTTATTATTAAGTCATTATAAAATTTGAATTGAGCAATTTCTAGATTTATTTAATGAACAGAATATTTTTTTCTATTAATATTTTGTAATAAAAAATTATAAAATTGAATTTGAGGCATTTATAATTGTATTTTATGAACAGAACTATTTTTGCGATTAGTAAACCTTCATTGCAAAAATGCTCTCTACTACAGCGCTGTTCACGGAGGAATTTTGAACTTATGCCTCAATCGTACCTCCCCTAAGTCAGACCCGAAAGCATGTGCATTTGGAATCTAATCCGAAATGGCACATTGTGAGTAAGGCTTTAAGAATGTTTACCTAACCCGCCACGTTAAACTTCCCTATCCCAAGCGTGATGTATACAACTTCCTTACAACTTACTTCTCGAGTGATGTAAAGTTGAAAAAACTCACTCGGTGATGTAATGAAACCCATTTAAATAACATTAAGTGCTTAACTTAAAAATATATACCTCTATGGAGCCAACGACGTTCAACGCTAGAAATCAGCTGTGCGCTTGAATGTTATCGTTATGCTTTTATGCTTTTAAGTATTTTCCTAACCTAGCTTTTGTTTGTAAAAAAACTTTACTGTTAGACGATGAGTGAAATGGATAATGAAAAATATCGTACGTAACCCCATGTATATTGTCGGGTCAGGTAAAATCTTGTACTTTACACGTTACGCAAGAGCGTGTTTACATCTCTTAGGTGAATTATGCAACTCGCTTCCGCTCGTTGCACAACATTCACCTGCGTGATGTAAAAACGCTCTTACTACACTTGTAATGTAAATAGCTATTTATCAACAACAATATTTCTTGTAAAAGTAAAATAGACAGCTGTGTTAAATGTTATCTTACACTTTGGCATCAGTGACCTATTCAGCTATGTTTAAATGTTATAATCTATCACAAGCATGTGAAAAGAGCTTGATAAAAGAATTTATTTAATGTAAAATATGAGACTGACAGTAATCAAGTCCTCTTGTCCTAATACCTCAGGACCCTCTTCTAACTATAGTGTGTATAATGAAACTTGTCTCCTCACACTCCTACCTGGGCCTGGCACAGGCTTTAAACCATTGGCTAGTCTCCAGGTAAATCTCTGTCTGGAGACAGGTTCTACCATATAGAATACAGAAAATCTATAGCCTTCAGATCTCAGATAGAGCATATAGCAGACTTTTTCTATCTCGATAAGATAGGTAAAAACAAAGATTTTACAACGTTTGAGGATCTGAAATCTAATCATGTTTTCAAGCAAGAAAGTACTTAAAACACAAAAAGAATATTACACAAACTCAACTGAAACTGGAAAACAATTATTAAACCTCACACAAACAGACCAATTGTAGTCAGACAAAAATGAAAAACAAATTTTTCTGGACTTTTAAAGTCCTAAAATTAAACAATATGGTGGTAACATTAGGCTATAGCAGTGGTATGATGGATTGCAAGTAGGTATACAAGTAAAAAAAATGACATATGGTTAAGATGGCAACAAATCTATGGCAGTTATGCCATCGGTTTGCGTACTGGTACTTGACAATAAATTTTATTATTAAAATTCATACTTGTATTGTAGCGTCTCACCTGTATATAGTCAATGGTCTCACTCTGTGCTTTGCTAGATGTTCTATGCATATACCCGAGGCCTATGTGGACTGGCAAGTTTAAGTTGCATTTAAGTTAAATGCAAGTTTATACAAGACCACCAACGACAAAAAAAAAAAATAGTTTGTTTACGTTTTACTCTGAGACATAAAGAAATCTCTTTGTTTCAGGGTTGATGCAGATGATGAGAACAGTTCGGGAAGCACTGCAAACTCAACAAACGCGGATAAATCAACACCGTCCGCCAAAGATGGCGATAAACCTGTAATCAAGGTGAAGTCGTTTGCGATTGTTCAAGACGAAGAATCCAACTCACTATCCAAGTCTACGGATAGGGTGCGTGTTACAGAGTCTTGTTTTACGCCTTTAACAACAAATAAATTTTCTGTTTGCCTAAAATTGTAAATAACAGTACAAGTACTGTAAGTGGCGTTTTGCATTGTATGCTAAACGTTTTTGTAGAAGGTGAAGTCAAACATAGACCATTGAGATTCACATTTAACTTGTTTTAAGCAAACTGTTCTGACCATGCCTTGTTACGGGAATAGAACGCAGAGAAGATATGGTGATACTTCACTGCCTTGTCCAATCCAAACTGCTGGTTGATTACAAGTAATAATTTAAGTGCTTGTTCTTGTTGTAAATTAATGTTATGAATGCTCATGTCACATGGAAGAATACACAGATGCGTTTTTTTCCAGTTGGAATGCATAAGGCTCCGTCCAAACTCTATGGTTCTTGTGTCACTTTATATACACTGCATTTGTCTGTAACATTGCTATTTCTGTGTTTTTAAAATATGCAATAGGTACTGATCTAATGAGCAAACAATTGAAACATAATTCAAAGGTTTGAACACCATCCCACAAAGAAAAACGTACTGTCACTTCTATTGATGCAATATAGAAATCTATAGTAGAATCAAAAGGTTAACTCAAGTAAAAGTAAACAAACTAACAAAAACAAATCTAACAGCTGATCCTTCTGCAATATTTTAAATGTTATTAAATAAAGCCCTTTATTTGTGGTTCCGGCCTTAGGAGAGGGTTTATCGAAAAACTGATGTTTTTCGGGGAAGTTTCACATCAAGACCTTTTATTCAAGTATGCGGTTGATTTAGGTGTGCGGTTTATGGGTTTCTCAAAAGTTCCGATCATTCCTAGTTTTAGCCAGTTTGCAAATAATTATAATTATAGAAAGTGACAGGAAATATGTATTTCACTAGTTTTGATTGATATTCTTCAACACTTCCCAAAAAGAAACATTCATACACAATAAAAAAAAAAACTATTGTTATTTCTGTTTTGGTTTTTAATATAGTCTACGTAGTGGAATTATTTATCAGTAAATGTTATTTGCTCAAATTTTCTCGGGTAAGCCAGCTGAACTCTTTCCCTTTCCATCAATAATACACTATATGATTAAATGGTATAACTGATCATTTTTGCCGTTTCAGCCATTGACACCAAATAGCGGTTCGGCTGTGAATACACTCACGATTAACAAGGATTTTGTTGTGAGTATAGCACCATATTTAAACTGTAAATTAGTTTCATAACAATCTTCAAACCATCCTCAACTGTTTGCATTAGAGATTTTTTCACCTTTTTATGTAAAATTTTCCTTTTCTTATCAACATTGTTTTAAAAAACATTTTTTGGTTTTGGGAATGGTTAGTAGCACAACATATTTTGAGGTGCAACACACAACTAGGAGGTGGGAAGCAGTTGAACTCATGAGCAAGTCAATTGAGCAAAGGTTCGGCTACACTACATAAGCAGGGGATCGGACAGGACCAAGGCTCCACTAGAAAAACAGGCCATGCTGCAGGATCCATTACGTCACAATAGTGGATAGATTCATTAATAAATTCACTGCCATATCCCATAAATGTTTTATGTAAATAAGCTGGCTGTTTGTCAGATTTTAATGGTAAGATTTTAGTAGAACTATCCACCACTGTGACGTAGTGTTGCGCTGCCCGCGCTATGGCCTCTTTTTCTAGTGGGGCCTTGACAGGACACTGAATGGAAAGGAAACAACACCGACAAATTTTAGCACTAAGGCCATACTTAACGGGACACAGAAAGGAAGAGGCACAATTTCTTTTGAGAGTGTACATGTTTGGAGAGCCGAACATTTCCCGAATGACCGTGCATTGAATCCAACCAGAATTTGTCTTTTCCGTTTCCTTTCTTGCCTTTGTAGCTCAAGATACAGGATATAACACAGTGACAAATGAAACGTCATGACGATAAAATGTGCGTTTAAATGCTACTGTACTTTGAGTATTCACCGGTTGCTGCAAGTGTCGTGTAATGTCTAGCGTACCACCTTCTATTTGATAAGACAGAAAGCATTCATTAATTAGTTGCCTGCCCGTTTTCCTTATTTATTTCATACCAATATTTATTTGAATATATTTTTGTCCTGTCCTGTGTAGTGTAGGCCTAAGGTGGGGTGTTATTGCAGCGACTGACAAGCCACCCAGTGTAATACAGACTCAATGTTCTCCAAACTCAACCCCACAAACCACCCTACTACATGCTAAGCAGATAAATTTAAGATCCTACTATTATTGTGTGGATAGTTTTCAGAAATATTGTTAAATTCACAATCTGTTGACAGTCGGGAGCATTCCTGGTGCTGCGGACGGAAGCCTCCAACGTAGACCCGCCTCTGTGGAAGATTGACGGCAAAGCCCTGCTGCAGAAATACAACCCCTTTGTTGAGGAAGGCAAAACTCTGTACAAGAATACAGCTGAGGTTAGTCGCACAAGACTGTAAATCCACTAATATGAGTAGAGGGGTCAACAGTTTATTTTGCTATTGTTCTGTTCTCAGAGCATGTTCAGATTTAGTTTTTACCATGAATTGAAATTAATTGTAATTAACTGAAACACAATTGTAGCCACTTAAGTTTTTACAAGTAGGTCTGATACGATTCATGCAATGCAGCAATTTTTGCTTCAGTGTGAATTCTGCATTCAGCGCAATCAGAATAATCGATGATTGCTGCAATATCTATAGCCATCTCTAGCTGTTGTGGTCATATTAAAAGACTCATTTCGAAGTAAAAATACAAATTCTGCAAAAAAAAAAACTTCGGAACTGTGTTCAAGTGTATTTTTGTTTAGATTCTACTATATTCTTATATATCTCACAGTTTGGGGTGGCACAGGCAAACGGCTTGTGTAACTAAACTTGAGATTATATCTCGGACCCAGCCAGTGGAATCACTATTGGTAAATGTGAGGTTTGCCCTCAAGACTTCACCAAATGAAGGTTACTTTCCAAGTAATTTCATCTATGAAATTAATTAACTGTTTGTGACTTGTCGATTATATAGCCGGCATCACAGTCCAAAAACTTGGTATGTCAGCTAAACCCAGTGAGGGCCCCTCCTTCGAAAACCCAGTTGTCGGGACAATTGGTGCCGTGTAAACGGTGAAGGTCAGTAGCGCTGTCTTGTGCCAATAGTACCTAGTTCCCTTGTGACACTCGAGGCATTAGGCGTGTTGTGTTGTTTAATCCGGTTATTCGTAGTAAAATTAGACCAAACTGGAATGACGAAATTAATTCAAAATTTGTTGAACTTTACAAAGAACACAGGTGTCTGTGGTACCACAAGACGACCTGTACAGGGGCGCTTGCGAAACGGCACTTACTGCAATTGCTCAAAACTTAAATGCCCAAGGATTTGATGTAGGTGAGGTTTAAGCAAAAATCAAGTCTTTCAGCAAAACGTTTAAAATTGAAATGGGTAAACTGAAAAAAGTGCCAAGTCTGAATTTGGATCTGCGGATGTGTATGTGCCAACCTTCAAGTGGTTTAACATAATGAAGGAAGTCATGACAAAGGAACGCTTACAAGGGATACCAAAGGAATATTGGTAAGTAGTTACACAATTTAATTATTATATTTTTTTATTACATCTATATATAAAGCTAAAAAGGGTCTGAACTTTTGAGAAAACCATAAGCCGCACACCTATCAACCGCATACTTGAATGAAAGGTCTTGATATGATATAACTTCCCCGAAAAACTTTCTCCTAAGGACAGGAACCGCGGTTAGAGAGCTCTATTTTATATTTAAAATATTAAAGAAACATCAGCTGTTAGATTTGTTTTTGTTTGTTTACTTTTCTTTGAGTTAAACTTTTGATTCTACCATAGATTTCTATATTGCATCAATAGAAGTGACAGTATGTTTTTCTTAAAATGGGATTGTGTTCAAACCTTTGAATTTTGTTTCAGTTGTTTACTGAATTGATTAGTTCAATTGATAGTATTGTAGTATTGATTGTAATTGATATATTTAAAAAACAGCAATTAATGTTAAAGACAAATGTTGTGTATATAATTAAGTGACACAAGAAATATAGAGTTTGGACGGAGTCTTATGTGTTCCAACTGGGAAAATAACGCATCTGTAGAGTATTTTCCTTGTGATATGGACATTGATAAAATTAATGTACTTCAAGAACAAGCGCTTGATCAACCAGCAGTTTGCATAAGGCGGGTGAAGAAACACTATATCTTCTCTCCCCGTGACGAGGCACGGGTAGAACAACTAGCAGGACATAATGTGTTATAACTCCAAACAACATAGAAAGGGTAAAATTAAAATAAACATATAAATGAGTTTAAACAAGGTACCACTTAAATGATATCCTTCTTTGCCTTCTTCCAGTAACAACTAGCCATTCCACAGCTCCTTCGTTAGAAAAGTAGGTTTTGTAAGCATCCTTTTTATCTTAGACTTTCTTGGTTAACTGATGAGGCCCCTCTTGCAACACTTTGCAATCCGTTGGTTTCTTTCCTCCAGATTCCTTCAATGATGGCACCAAAATCAAAATCCTCACAGTCCACTGATTCCCTAGGCATGTACATTGCAGTTGATTTGCTCCGCAGGAAATTATGAAGAGAACAAGCAGCACAAATCACCTAGTCGATTGTTTCAGATAGAAGAGGAATGGGTTTCTACTGACTAATATTCCGAATGCATTTTCCACTATACGCCTTGCCCTTGATAGCCTGTAATTGTAAATTTTCTTTTCCAAATCCAGCAATTGTCCTCTATATGGTTTCATTAGGCATTCTTTCCAAATGCATTATCTCCCACGGCAACTCCATCTGTAGGCAGCAACCCTTCTTCAATTGCTTGAAATAGAGAAGATCTTTGAAAAACTGTGCTGTCCAACATGGTACCGTTGCTTCCAGCACCACTGAAATTGATACGTGCAAGTGGTCAATTAGTGCAAAAAGTATAATGCTATTATGTTTCTTATAGTTGAACAATGTGTTACCACAATTTTCCGGCGCTCTTATATGCGCATGTTTGCCATCAATTGCTCCGTAGCACCCCGGAAAATTCCATCAATCTCGAAATTCCTGCTTGATTTTATTTCAGTCAACAACGGTCTCAGGAACCTATAACAAAAAATATAAATAAATTGGTAGATCGCTTTAAAACCACTAATGTAATAATTTTCATACAACAATAAATGCAAATATCGATTAAGCTAGTGTTGTGCTTTTGTACTTAGGTAAATACACACACAAATATGTTATTATACTGTATATATGCACACACAAGGTGCATATTGATGTACTTATGAATACTTGTATTTTAGTGTTGTATGAAAATTATTATATTAATAATATAACTTGTATTATTGTATGATTTCCAGATGCCTGGTGCTTGCAGTACACCTACAAGGACTGCTGATGATCTGGACGACTCAGCAGAACTAACTTCTGCGGACACTTCTAGCATAGAAGAAGCAAATGAACAGGTGGATGATGCACGGAACTCACCAATACCAGACCAAATAATGAGTAACTCACCTGCCGGTTCTCATCACAGACCAACTCCGGACTACCCTCCAAATAAGGAAATCAAGCCACGATCAACGATTCAACATATCACTTCTACTGCTTGTGGACTGAATAATTTTAGTGAATCAGTTCTACGCCACAACCATGGCAAAGAGAGCGAGTGGGACATTTACGGGAAGTCCGTGGCAGCACAATTAAAATGTTTGTCTCCTGCTCAGGCTCTCTATGCCCAGATGGAAATTAATAATACGCTAACAAAGTGCCGTTTTAACGATTTATGCGGCACACCTGCTTCACCTGGCCTTTTGACCGTGTCTACCGAGATTCCTTCAAACAACTCCAGTGAAGTTATTGAAGTATCTCCGGACACTGAAGAAAAAAAGTCTCACGACATAATTGCATCGTCCACAGCAACACCTGTGGACACATTTTCAGAAGATTTTACGGCTTTTGACTACAAATGCGATGTGTAGTGCAATTAACTTTAAGATTTTACAACACAACATTTAATGTTGTTAAATAAATTGTTTTGTTTATATTTACTTTGTGTTTTTTTTAAAATCATATTGCAATGATTTCACTTGAAATAACTCTTTACTTAGTTTTTGTAAATAAACTTTTGATTTTTTGGTAAATATGTAATATCATTTTTTTCTTACCTTGATATATTCCTGGAGGCTAGTTCACAAGGCCTCACACATCTAAGGAATGAATTGCCGGTTTTGAGACTCAGAAATAATGCTGCAGGCTCCTGTAGCCAGTAATTTCCAATTTTAGGCTGGGGTCAATGCTTTTCTCATTAAAGTGTCCTTTTTTGGATATTTTGGTTTCAACCATTTGTAAAAGTTCATCCAAACTTAGTATAAAAATTAAAAAGACATAAAACTTGAGTCTCTGGACTCATCCTTAAACATGATTAAAATTCTAAAGGATCTTCCATACGGAGTTCCCTTATCAATTGAGATGACGCACCATGTCTGTCCCTTTTTAAAAGCCATCTTCTTGTCCACTCCCTCTTCTTATCTAACTCTCCTTGTAACACGTTGCAAGACTCATTGATAAATTCCCAGCACATTATTTTTAAGTCCACTCGGGACACGACAGATGATGAGCACTTGATGAGCAGATGATGAGTCATGTTTCTCTGTCGAATGCCTAGGCAATTGTTGGCCTCGTGTGAACAGGTAACAGGTTCTCTTTCAACTTGGCTGGTCTACGACAATTTTGCATCCACGTGATGTGATGACAATTGGCAAAGATAATTGTCTCCACTACTGGCATCGTGTAAACCCCGCTTAAGTGTTTAGTTTTGTAGCTAACTTTACTAACCTGTATTTTAATTACAGTACTCCGGCTGGACACTGTCCAACAAGGGCAACTATTTCCCGGTGTCTGTCGTGTTCAAACAGCAGAACAAGAAAGAACATGTTGTGGCTCTGGACAGGATCAAATGGTAACGTGAACCTTCTAAGAATTAATGTTAAGTTATTAAATGCGAACATTAGTGCTTTGACCTACCGATTAGCCAAAATATGTCATTGAACACTTATTTTGTCACCATTTTAACAAAATGGTGATCATAAAGAGGTTTTTGGAGGAAAGAACATTTGCTTTAGGAATACATAGGGTAGAAGGAATGGATACATAAGTACAAGAAAATAGTTCCAGGCAGTTGATAGCACTTAAAGTATAAAATACCCCCGCACTCTGCAAACCTGCAGACTAAGCACATTTCCATTTACCTGTCTGGATTTTTACTAAAATATTACTATATTTATTATCTCCGTAGCTATTAGGCATACAACAACGCTTCAATATACAAAATTATTGTTTTTTAAAGCTCTACAAAATGGAGTGGAAAGAAATTATGAAATTTTATGTTTCTAGAGTCAAAAATGGGAAATACCAATTTTGACCCTATAAACCCTCGTTCCAATAGTTTGATCTGCTTTGCGAACTTGTTTGAATAAACATAGGTTTACACGTTTCTACCAAATTTCATCAAAATCGGATCATTATCGCGCTAACGGACACATATATATAAGAATTTGAACGGAGGGTGTTTTTTGGCCTCTGGGGACCTCAAAACGTAAATCGGTTCCGGGTCCAGGTCTTACCATGAGTAGCCTACTACAGTAATAGCTTATTCCCTATATGGGAAATTCGCTAAAAACAATCAATTTCATATTTTGCCCCTGTTGTGGCATTATTCGAATAACTAAAGAAAGATAAAATGTATATAACTACACTTAAATTGAATATGTTTCCATCCCTAAAACCTGATGACAAAGAGTGATAACATTGGAACAATAATAACGTGTTATAAAAAAGACAGGTATAAGGTAAAGTTAGTTAAGCAGAGGCTTCTTAAGAACGAAGTAGTAGACTCAAATTAATTGTGCTCCGATCCTATTGTTATAATCAGTAAACTTATAAGAAGGTGGTGGCATTTTTAAGGGTTTGCCAGCCAGCCTTAGGTCTAATACTGCAAATTCATATTCATAATAACATGATTTACTCCATATCGCGTTGTAATCGTGAAAGAAACAAACAAAACCAATGAATACTAGCACTTTAAGAAGCAAAATGCTTATGGAGAATAGTCCGACTGGAGTTTTGCAACCGAAATGAGCTTTGTGCGGCCGCGCTACTCCATCTCTCCCTATCTCTCTCTCCAAGCAGATGATTCTTTGTTTGACTCTCTTACTCAGTCAGCTGACTTGGCCGCGAGCTCGCGATAATCTATCTAATGGCCGCCGCGGAAACTATCCAAAATTAAGATATTCCCAGACTGAATTTGCAACAAAGGCATTGCGCTTCTTAAAGTCTTTGTGTTCATTGACAAAACTATTACAAAATGTTTTATTGTTTTCATGGTTAATTATTTACAGAAATAACTGGTATGTTTCAGGGATGAACCAGAAGATTCGGGTAAGGAATAAGGATAGACCAGCTGTGCTCAGCATTGAGTTCAAGTTTGTTACCTGTTTGTACAATGCCATTTTGTCCAGTGCATCTTCCAGTTTTCTGTATATACTGAAACTTAGCTAGTATTATTTCAAAGTAAATCTCAGGATAGTCTAAAGTTGGTTGTATATGCTATGGTAAAAGTAAGTGTAGACCATTCACATCCTAACTGCCCATAGATTATTTTCCAAGTTAAGCTATTGTTTGTATTGTAAGTAAGTGATTGAAGTTGCCTTTTTTCAGCTGTCTAATTATATCGGATGCCATTGTTTTGCATTTTGATAAAAGTAAATTTAAAAAAGTAATAGTACGACTTTAATCCAAGTTTGTTACCATTTATGTAGGTGTTTACAGTTAAATTACTTCTATATTTTATTTGCTTATTTCAGTTATTTTGGTATTCTTGAATCTTCTTGAACAAGCTTGCTGTTAGACTCTTTTTTTCTTAATTGTTGCATATGCTTATACTTTCAAATCAATACTCCTGGAGTGTTACACATTTGTTTACTTTGAGAAAAGGCAATTTATTTGGCATCAAAATCTCATTTCTGTCAGGTAGGTTGCAATTTAGAAACTTTAAATTTTGAGTTATGTTGATCAGTGTTCCAAAGATGTTACAACTTTTTTATCATTATTTTATATTATAAGTATGTGTTGTTTTGTTAACTATTTAAATAATTTAAATCTAGGTTGCTTTGATGACCAGGACATATAGATATTATTCACATTATATGTTATCAGATCCACTTTTACAACTTGAACTACATATTACATAATATAAAAGAAGTTTTTTACTGGGATCAAATTATGTGAGGTGCTTTTTAGGAGTTGTAAGAAATGCAGTGAGCGTTACTTATGCACTAGATGTTTGGTAAAAAAATTAAAATAAAAAAAAATCTTCGCTGATTCCTTGTATTTAGGTCTAGTGCTAGGTATATTTGAAAATTGTTTTGTATTTGAAAATTCCTCCTATATTTGGAAGAGGATTTTATTTTTTAAATAAAGAACATTTCATATGTGATTTTGTTGTATTGGATACCTTATACTGAAGTGGTGAGTCTATATTTTCCTGCAAAGAGACATCAGTATTGTTCCATGAATATTTTGTGCAAAATAATGAAAATAGATTCTGATTGTGGGTAGGGGGGGGGGTTAACTTTGTTATTGTGGACTTGGACTGTATAAAAAAGGGGTGAGATATAATGTTATGATTAGCTTTAGAGGCACACTGAGCATAAAATATACACTTTTAAATAGGAAAGAAGTGTGAATTGGTATCTTCCTTTTTACTGGAGCGATGACTAGACTGTAGATGAACAGTCTTGGTCTTGTTAGCTGGCCAGCTTTCACATATGCGACCGGTAGTTGTACAGTTTACATACAGTTTTTTTAACTTTTCACAGTTCACTTTTTTGTTTGGTGTGTCACGAATATGTACATGATAATACGTTCAATTTATATGCCACAAATAGGGTAGGGAAAATATTAATTAATTAGGAATACAAAATAAAATGGCAAGATCATGTTGCCAGGTAGAGTACAAGGGAATGGGAAGTAATCAGACAGGATAATCAGACATTAAGTGACAGGGCAAAGGTCAGAACAAAATATGAATGAAGTCTGGATCCATCTAGATTGCGTAGATGCTTAAATATGAAACACTGACCTTGGCTATCACATTGTGAGACTTGTAGCTTATTCATGGCACTAAGAACTGCAGAAAATTACAAATAAGAGTAGCTGATAAGAACGTGACATTTTTCTCCTTACTCAAAATGAGTGGTTAATAAAACCCTTAGTCAAATACAAATTATCCATACTCCAATCACCCAAAACTAATTTTTGTTTATGTAAATCTATGGGTGGCTCACATCAACTAAGACAAATTTTATTAAAAACCTGGCTACAACTTTAACATCTTGAACTAACTTAATTCAATAACTAATAATAACTTAATTTAATAACTTGATTCAATAACATGGTGGAAAACAAGCAAAATAAACTGACTATTTTAAATTATTTATTTTCTATACTACAGTTACATCATGTATTTAAATTATCACATTGTTTTGTTTGTTCTGCAACATCCTCATCCGAGGTATCCTCATCTGTTGTATGGTTTTCTGCTTGTTGTTTGTCACTTTCATCATCTGCAGATCCGTCACTTTCACTTTCATCCTCACTTGAAGATGGATAGTCGCTTCTTTGGTCTGAAAAATAAAAAATGCACTTAGTCCGAGGTTGCATTGGTATTTGACAAGCTAAATAAATAATAACCAAAGAAAATTGCACTTGTAGCAAAACTTAGTTGGCTTATTGCTAAGAATTACGTGATGCTTAATCGTTATTTTGAATGAAGTTTCACACATAATTTAGTATAAAAACACATAGAAATGTGAATCAACTTTTATAAACAACTTATTGATAATAGAATTTTACAAGCCTGCTGGAGATACAAGAATAGAATGTTTCGTTATCAAACATTATGTTATGTTAGCCAGAAGCTATAGGTCAACGTTCTCGGTTAACCCACTTAAATACTTCTCAATAATAATTGTTGATTTATTTACAACAGGGAATTTGGGAAGTACTCAATTTGTTAAATTATTTATTAGCGAGGATAGTAAGTTTACTCCTAATTCTAAAGGCAGTAGAACGTATTTTGGGGATACTAGTTGATAACGTTTCAAAGCAAATCCATGTGGTTGGTCGAGTGGTTTGTTTTAGTGTGTATGTTCAAGGGATTGTGTTTCTGAGTTTGCTTGAGAAAAAAACAATCTGAAATAGGTCACACAACATACTACTGATATTAACTTCCAAATTTACAACTTTGTCTTCAGTAGCTTGTTTAAGTAGATAAAAAATATTGCACTTTCGAAACAAATTTTGTTAAGTTAACTGTTTTTATTAGTGTCGATGAATGAAGGAAAGTTAAACCCGTTCATGAGAAAGAGGTCCAAACCATTTAAATACTTGTACAAGTACAAAATCATTTAATTTGAAGCCTTCAAGAATATTACTCCTCAATAACTGTGGAAGCAAGCAGGTCCAACAGAGCGCGGGACTTCGATCCTCAAGCTCCTGGGTTTGAATAATGCCAATCACCAATGGATTTTATCTAAGTGATAATGCTACAACCTCTATACCGGTACCTAACCTGAAGTGATGTGAAAACCAATCCCCGGGCCTTTAGCCTATTTTAAATAATTGAAAAATATGTTTTCTTAATACCCACCTAGCCTGTTTAACCTTTCCTGTTGAGCTGTTGCCAAAAACTCATTCTGAGCAGCTACTACCTCAGCACTTGTGGTACAAGCAGCATACTTCTCCAAAAGCTCCTCGTTTAGACTCAAAAACGAGGCTCCCCATTTAAACTTGTCGAGATACTGCTTGGCTAGGTCCTTGAAGTCTGGAAATTTAAAGTTATCACAAGTACCTTCAACAACTGGCTGCCTTTAATAAATCCCTTTTTGAACTGGACCCTATTAAGGTTGTGCTTGGGCTTTTACAATTTTTGTTTTGATACTGAAATTAAGTCAGATATTACTTTAAGTGTAATAATAAACGGGAAAAAAATTTAAAAAAAAAATTTTTGACCAGTTTTTAGTGGTTTTTAGATGTTAAAAATAGCGAACTTCGGACCGGAATTACTGGATCATTGTTTCGTATTTTGCAAATATGTTAAATGTTTCTTACGCTGTTAGATATGCTTAAAGTCATGAGCATAGTACAAATTTTATATTGTAAAAAAAATATATTTTGGTTTTGAAAAACATTTTTTATCTGAGCTCTATTTGCTTTAGGAAAAATATAAACACGTCAATCTCTTTTAAACAACTTCTATAAAATGTTCCCAAAAAATCTTTTTTTTATTATTAACGGTTTTTCTTAAATTGTGGTACATGTGAATAGAGTTAACCCCTGTATTTTTGGGATACTAACCCGCTACGCAGTCCGCGCTCGGAATTCCCCCACTACCACCACCATACACCTGCAGTGCAGATGTTGCTTTTTGTTTTCGCGCGCTTTTCCATCATCTCAGTGACGAGTGACGAGTGACTGTCACACACACGTGGCACGTGCGGTACACACCATAATCTTTTTTCACTGTGTCTTTAGTTCTATAGCTCTGTAACACTGTGTAAGTTATTTTACTTAGGACAGCTCGTTTTTTATCCGTATACCCAGAATAATGCCTAGAAAGCCGAGGCCACATAAACGAAACAAACGCTCAATAGGTGCAAGGAGATATTTAGCTAATATTAGAAATTCCATGCCTACTGCAACCTCGGTAGCAGAGACAGAAGCCACAACTACGATCCAAGAAGACACCAATGATGACATTTTTGACAGATTGCTCCTTGGACCAGGTATGATCCAATTTCATATAATTTATGTCTATTTAATCTATAATTATAAATATTTGCCTTTGTATAATAGGGAATTATACAGTTTTTTATTCGCACTCACTGCAAATATGTTTACTCACTAATTGATTGAAAAAAAAAATGAAATGAAATGACATGAAAAAGTGCTTTTATTTACAAATAAATGTACAACAATAACTTTTACGCCACACAACATTATTTACGCCACACTACATTATTTTGACGAACTTCCCATGCAAGGATTTAGTCCAGAAAACAGCTGTTTCCCGCCAGCTTATTCAAATGGGGTTTCATTGCGTAATACTGTTCTGCAATGAGTTTTACCGGACACCAATCAGCTGATTACACTGCATTTGCGTGGCAATTAGTGGTTATAAACAAAAACCTCTCTCAGAGGTTATGACTAGTGATTTTTTGTCCTTTAGTTGGTGGAAATAAATAAGGATTTGTACGTAATAAGTAGTATGGCGTAAACTGTCGTACGTAACTCGTCCAAAATGTGTGTACCGGACTCGTATGGTAATCCCGTACTCGACTTTGTCTCGCACGGGAACGACCACACTCGTCCGGCAAACACTTATTTTCAGGACTAGTAACGTAATATACTATTTTGCACTAAATACAATGGACAAAAAGCCCGCCTGTTGCGGCTGGCGTACCTGGTTAGCACTTGTACAACAATTGACTAACGTTACCACTAATTGATTGCTTATTCACTATCCTTCGCTGTCGAAAAACTGGGGGTGAATCCAGAATATTTTTTTCTAGGAAATATTATTTTTACTAAATATCATGACACTTATAATTATTACTGTGGTGCAACACAACAACTTTTATTGTATATGTTTCGTTGAAATGTGTAATTGGCATAGAATATTCGTACCTATAAAATTGGTGTATAAAATTAATTATTCTATACTGTATATTAACTAATTATAACATATATTTCAATTAGGCTATTAACAATATGAAAAATAAATTAAATATAATAAAAAGCGTAAAAGTGTCAGAATAATAATAGGGGATATTAAAAAGAGGCTATATCAGTAGCTTTGTATTAGTGTTTTTGAACACCGATTATAAACTAGTAATTGAATTTATTGTTCTATAGGACTGAAGATAATCAACCAATTTTGAATTACAATGAAGATATCTTAGAACATGATATTGAATCAGACCCGGAACCAGACTGCAGCAAAGATGATCCGTCAAGTCTACTACAACCCCTCATTGTGGAGCCTTATTCGTCGGAAGAATTGAAAAAACTAAGGGAAAATGTAATGAGCGGTAGGAGAATGGTTGATGTTGGCCACATTTTTCGGCAACTACAAGTTATCGCTTCCCACCCTATGAAATGTACAATGGGGAAGTATGAACTGAAAAAGGAAATTAGAAGTGGATTGTTCTGCACCTGGAGTTTTTACTGTGACAACTGTGAAAAGACCTATGTAGTTACCTCATTGCCTGTTGATGAAAAACAGAACGTCAATGATGCTTTGGTATGGGGAGCAATGTCTATTGGAATCGGCTTCGCTCAATTAGAGGAACTTTTCAGCCTTTTGGACGTTCCTGTAATGTCACAGGAAAAATATATACACCACGAAAAAAAGGTTGGAGATGTAAGTATACTAGCTATAAGTTTGTACTAAACTCATATTACAGATAGCCTAAAGCAATTATCATTTGCCGGAATCTAAACATTATTCCGTCATACTGCAGCAAAACTCTATATAGTACTAAGTATCTTTTGAGTATGTTATGAGTTCATCTATAAGGGAATGAATTATTGCAGGCGTGGGAGACTATTCTGGTTCACAAAATGCAACGCAATGCTGAGGAAGAAAAAAAGATCGCACTGGAAAAGGGTAATATATTTCAAGGCAAGCCGTATATCACAGTGATTGGAGATGGAGGATGGGCAAAACGATCCTATGGCCATGGAATGAGCTCTAAAAGTGGAGTGGTAAGTTAAAATTTAACTCTGTAATTTAACTTTCCATTTAAGTTCGATACCGTGTTGTTTACTTTTATATTCTATCCCCCTATACATAGTATATGGAGAAAGTATTGTTTTCCTAAACATTTTCGAGTTTGGGTTTTGAGTGTATATGTCCATTTTGAGTATTTTTTTGGTGATTTGTTTTCAAAAGTTTTATTTTTAATTGTGATTTTCCCATAAAACCCCATAAAAAACGGAAAATCGTTTTTTTTTTTAAACGACCCGAACGATTTCAATAAAAACATTGCTATGTTATAGTCCTTTAAATTCTGAACAAAATGGTAGAAATTCCATCCCTATAGAATACCATAGTTACTCCCACCGCTTACCCATGATAAAGGTTGTTTACTAGCTTATGGGAGAAAGTATGTGTCAGTTTGCCGATACCGTTTATTTTACTTGTAGAAACATTCATTTTTCCTACAGTTACCTAACAATGTACATGTTCTCTCACTGATTTGTGAAAGCAAAGTGGCCAATTCGCTCATCAGGGAGACAATGTTAACATTGTCTCACTCCAGATTTGCAACTTGAAGGCACGAAATAGTGATCGCGTAACATGCAGACAAGGTCGTATGCGCGCGAAATATGTTGGCAGCACTGGCTGTAAATCAGCTGGTCAGTTGTTGTACGTATTTGTCACAACCCTTCCGGTCACGGCAGAAGCCACCATTTCATTGATTTGCCATTTGTTTACATTGAAGGTGGTTTTGCTGTCGCAATATAAGTAATTCTTTGGTTAAAAATTCTTTAAGGCTGTTTGTGTTCATTTTTAAGGAGATTACTTTTTGTTTTATAATGTTGTTTCTGATTTATTAATGCTACTTTCACATTACATGTCATATTAAAAGATCACTTCTGTGTAAAAATATGTTACGTTTCTTTACCAATTTATTCTTAGTATGAAATTAGAAATTAGCCAAATTTAATTTAAACTTTATTAATCCATAAACAAGTAAACTAGAATTTTTAATTTATTCCACATAAGAATAACGTGGTAATTGAAAACGTACACTTTTAACATTTTAATATGCCTTGTTTTTTGCCCAGGTCACGCCAGTTTTTACTGCTACTGTATATTGTACATGTATAATTATCGAATGCTTACATTACAGGGCATAATCATTGGGGCTGAAACAAAAAAGATACTGTTCCTAGGAGTAAAGAACAAATTTTGCTTCACATGTAGTAACTCCAGGAAAAAGAGGCAAGATCATATCTGTTACAAAAACTATACCGGTCCTAGTACGGGTATGGAGAGCAGCGTCATCGTTGAAGGTTTCAAGAGAAGTGAAGAGGACTACGGTCTCATATACAAGTACTACATTGGAGACGGTGATTCTAGCGTTTTTGCTCGAATTCAAGAAGGATGCCAATACGGAAGATTTGTGCAAAAAATTGAATGCGCGAATCATGTCACACGAGCTTTGAGTGACAATTTGCACAAGGTAGCCGAAAATACGCAGTACCCTCTACAATCTCGGCAACTTCTAAGCAAGCCGGCTCCAAACGAATCCATTACAAGACTTGAGCGGATTGTAAAAGGGGTCAGGACCGCAATAAAAACATGCGGATCCAGTACAAGTACGACAAATGTGCCAAAACTTAGACAGGCCATCACAAACTCACTGGACCATGTGTTTGGAAACCATGAACGATGTGAAGAATTTTGCGTAAGAAAGGAATCAGGGGAAGAAAATGTAATAATGCAACTAGATCGTGATTTTCTAAACAAATTAAGGACCGTCATTGGGAATGTTGCGAGCAAATGTCAAAGTCTTGTTTTCAATGAAACCACCAATCTTGCCGAGCGGTATATGGGGTATGTTGCAAAGTTTACTGGGGGCAAAAGACTGAATCTAACCACAGGTGGTTCCTACCAGCGGAGATGTATGGGTGCAGCCTTGGCACACTCTTCAGGGCCGAGCTGGCACCTTAGTCCCTGGAGGAAGTTTTCATCTAGAAGTCCAGGTTCTTACTTCAAGAGGAAAATACTGATGAGAGAAAAGCGAAACTATAGGAGACGCTTGTACCTGGAAAAAAACCCACCTAAACGAAAACGCCGTCAAGGTATGTTGATAAAAAGCACAAAGTTATTTTCTTATAAGGTACTAATATCATTGTTTGTACATGATAAAGTCTTTAGGTGTGATTATACACACACACTTACGGTATATTTGTACATTAAAACTATATCAGCAATCTGACAAATACTTTCTCCCATTGCCTTGCTAAAACCCCTTATGATGGGAAAGCGGTGGGAGAATTTATGGTATATTTTTCGTTAAAACCACAAAAGCTGCAATAAATATAGAACTCTAATTTTCACAGCAATTGGGGTAGTACTATTATAGCTAGGACTGTAACTACGAAAAAATACTAAACATGAATAAAAATCACTTAAACTTCTAATCAAACATACGATTTTATTTTTATTTTATGATTTTTAATGGGGAAAGCCCACAAGTTACAATAAAGTTTGACCCGTAATTTTTGCAGTAGTGTGGTTTTTTGTAGTAGGAGGAAATAAAAGTGAATTTAAAATTGTTCCCTGATATTTTAAACAATGTTTGTCAGAAGAAACTTTAGGGGTTCTCCTTCTGACATAATATTGCGGTTGTTGCTTCAGGTGGTGGTGAGTATGACAGCGAGTATGGACCTTTGGCTGTAAACCCCGACATCGAGGAGTGTGAGATGGTCTCAAAATGCTCAACCTTCCTTGACGAACTTCGGAAAGATGTTCATGATGGAAACAATTCTATTGAGCGCTCCACCATAGGCCAACACACAAATCCGCTTTGGAGAGAGAAGAGGATAAACCGGCTCACAGCTTCCCGGTTTGGATCTGTGGCAAAAAGGAAACCCCATACAGATTGCCACAACATGGTTAAATCGATCCTCATACAAAGACAACTAAATACTGACGCTGTCGCATACGGTATGAATACATTAATTCCGTAGCATCTCCTGTATAACTAATAAATAACAATTACAAAACAATGTTCAACAAATAACCAACATTACACCATTCCACTTCCATTGCAAATCCATACCATTGTCCATTCTCTACATTTACACAAACAGAAATATTATCTTACAATTAATCACATATTCCATATTTAAATTTAAAGATAACAACAAATTTATAATTTTTATAAATTCAAGCAATACTATAGAACTTTTAGCTTTAACGAGTTTTCAAAAACTAAGTAAGTTTATTTGTATATACATAGACATACCATAAGACGACAAAGAAATAAATTATGGCATGATATTAAAATTGTATGTCAGTACGTTATATGCCAAGTATATTCAATCACTGATACATACTAATATTACTCATATTAATGATAAAAACCAAAAAATTGTATAATGTTGACGATGACCGATAATGCTACTAGTCAAATCCCTAAGATTTACCCATTGTTACAGGCCGAGACAATGAAGAGCGAGTTGTTCAAATGTATGAAGGAAGAACTGGACTAAAGGTCGACCGGTGTGGCCTATTCATAGATGAAACTTACCCATTTTTAGGGGCTAGCCCAGATGGATTAGTGGAAAGCGACGGCCTGATAGAAGTCAAATGTCTATATTCAATTAAGGACACTTCTATCGAAGACCACTTGCAAAACAACAAAACCACATGTCTTGAACTTGTCAGCGGAAAGCTTCGACTAAAAAAAAGTCACGACTACTATTTTCAAATTCAAGGTCAGTTGAACATTGCCAAAAGAAAGTGGTGTGACTTCGTAGTTTTCACCAGAAAAGGAGAGTTGTTTGTTGAGAGGATTGTTATTGATGAGGAATTCTGGGCAAAAGTACTACCTAAATTAGTACAGTTCTACCAGGAATGCATTTTGCCGGAAATCATCGACAGTCGCCTCATAAGAAATTTGAGGATAAGGAATCCCCCCTCCATCATTGAGGCCCAGCAACGATTGAAAAACCGTCCTAAAAGAGGGAAAAAAGTTGTTCAAGACACAGACCACGACCTCGAAATTGAGAGACCGAAACGTTTGAAACTAAACACGGTTCCAACACTTGGTTCACTATAGCTAAATAAATAAAGAAATTGTACAGTTATAGACAAATCAAAGCATTCACAGTTTATGTTTTCTCACTTATTTACAGTACCTTTATTATATTTAAATGTTACTTATTTTTGTGTGTGTGTGTTTCAATCAAGCCCCAAATAGAGTACAGTACGTATTACAATAAAAATTAAATTTGTAATAATCCTTATGTGCTATTTTACTTCTATTTTGACTTTATTTTTATTTTCGTAGTTGCAAAAGGATCTTACAGTTTAATGTAGTATGGCAAAATAATTTTGAAGGTGCCTCCTAATGAGGCATGTGGTTGGTTTTTTTATACAGTACACTTATACCAAATTATAAAATCGTACATAAAAATATTTTGACTATAAATATAATGTTAAATTTGCCTACATTACACAAAATACATCATACTGATATTCTAACAGGTTTTAAAAATCAGTGTGAATGTAAGACACATTATATTGTGCATATATTCTTATGTTAATACTAAGGTTGTAATTTGAATTATTATTTTATGTTACAATTAATTAAGTTGAAGATGAATCACAGACTTCCCCCAGCCCATGACCTGAGCCCGGGATAATTAAGTTGAAGATGAATCACAGACTTCCCCCAGCCCATGACCTGAGCCCGGGATACCAGCGACTAGCGTTAGTAAGGCGACACAAGAAGACAAGACATCTCAGAATTCAGATAAGGAGATAACGCAAACAATAGCAGCAGCTATCTGCGCGTTAGGTTTTTGTATTCATTAGATGGTTCGGCGTGGTGGGGAGGGGATGTTGAGGGGAACAGACGGCGGAGGGGGAGAGTTGAGCGCTGCCAGTACTAGTGCTGCGATCTAGGCGGAATAGTTTGGCATAAATCGCCCTAGCACAACGTTAATACTTGGTGCATCTACGTACCCATTCGGTCCCACATAAATCGACTGAACACAAATTTCAAAAAATCTAAATTAAAAATTTCTTCCATCTAAATTAGGACCTTTATTACTCGAACCTTAATATTTTCATAACCCCCTTGAATGTAAAATAATTAGGCCTAGCTATATCAGAATTACAATGCTAAAACTACCTTTATTAGTAGAACTTTGAAGTTTTGTGATCTGTAATATTTAACATCTAAGTTTTTTATTCAAATGCCACAATAATTCAAAGTTTTAAGCCAGTAGTATTATCAAGATTTTAAAACAATTAAAATATACTCACAAGATTGTGAGCGCAAGTCAGCTGTTTTTGATTATTGTTTGGATATGAAAATCTATCTTCTTTGTTTGTTTAGCTAGTTCTGTTATGTTAGCCTGTTAGTTTATAGTTATTGTGATTATTTTGTGCACGTCGGACATCATGATGTTAACTATGACACAAATGAACTTTGATATACAACTTAAAGAAGTCAAAATCGTTTAAGAATGTGGATTTCCAAAATACATCATACCGACGATTTTGAAAAACCGGCAATATTATGAGGTTGAAGGTGAGTATTGAAACACCGTATTTACAGACCTGAATCGAAAAGTCTCAAGTTAAACATAAATAATTACCATTCCAATAGAATAGATACAGTACCGTACTCTGTATGCATAAATAATTATTGTTTTGCATTCTATATGTTACACTCAAACTCCGAATACTGTATTTAAAACAAACAAGTTGTTAGAACTCGTGTGAAATAAAGAACTTTTACAATTATTAAATAATACAGAACTGATTTTATTCTGATAAAGAACAAATATTTTATAACATTTCTCTATTTAACTAAATTGTTATGTTCTTGATCACTTTCTAAAATCCTTACCACAACTCTTCTCAATTGTTTGAATCAATTAAAATAAACCATCTGTTAATTAAAAGCAAAGACTAACAAATTATTATATTTTATGTTGATTAATATTGAATTTGTACTATATAAAAATAACTCAATTTCCAACACAAGTAATTCATCCATTGTTACTACATTGTTTTATTTCTGAGCCTAAATTTGTTATGTCAATTTGATTTTTAGCTTGCAAGAGGTTCGATTTACGTTTATCGTAAATTAAAATTACATATTAAATACTGCACTGTGTATTTTAATTTACACCAAATTAACTTAAGAGATTACCTTTTTTTGTTGTTGCCTATGTTCTTGAGTAAGATGTTTGTGTGTCACCCTATGCATTTTAAATTATAGTGAGATGCCACACAAGCTGGTGAATTTTATAGGATGGCACAAAAACATCTTACTGGTTCTCACGATTATATACATCAACAGAAAAAGGAAATCTAATAGGGTAATTTTATAAATTAATTATGTAGCAACCTTACTGGTGATGTAGAAGGTAGCAGCTAAAGCTTCAACGCAGGATAGTTGGCAAGGCTTGCCGTAGTTGATCGGGTTGGCAGCGACCAGGAATGGCAGCAGACGAGGGTGAGGTGTCCTCATCCTGCCGAAGGGCGTCTCTTCTATCCTGGCCCAGGAACAGTCGACGACCGCGGCTCCGTGGAGTTTTACAATGTCATGGTCAGCAGGTGACACACACTGGCAAAAACAAAATTCAATAAAAATTGATCAATAAAACAAAATTTGACTAATCTGATTCAATTAAGACGTAAAACATAGCTTAATTATCGTAAAACATGGTTAAATTATTTTAAAAGGCCTACATCATTACCAAGTAAAATTACCTTTTCACCAACTGGCGTAAGAACAATTCCTGAAAACCGCTGGCCCAGCCGAAGTACCTTGACTAGTTTCTGACGAACTAATTTTCTTCCTGAACATTTTTTTGGGTCGCAATGCTCCATGTCCCACATTGCGACTGGAAATGGTAGGGCAGTGGCACCACCTGTAAAAAATGGAAAGCCAAAGATTTAAATCCTCTGACACTAAAATTTATTGAAGGCCTAGCTGTAAACATTTGAATCTTGATTACATGGCAAAGAGGAACTTCGGTTATAAAACACTGGACATTCATGTATTGATTTTTAGGACTAGGACAATTTTTTGATCGAGAGGAAAAATAAGTTAAAATAATCTGTTATAATTACAGTAGACTCCCTCTTATCCGGACACCTTTTAACCAGACATCCGTTTAGCCAGACTACACTCGGCGGAAATGACATCTCTTTAACCGGATAATTTTTATCAGCACATCTGTTTAACCGGACTAGATCGGCAGGAAAAGGGCGGTACTGAAACAACTGTTCTCGTGATAAAGATTTGAGACCAGTGAACACGTGTCTAAAATACAATATCCTCTACTAAATTTAAGTCAAATACTGTATAACATATGCATTAAAACGGTCCGTTTTAACTTTTTTTTGGGGACGTAGGTTTAACAGGAAAAACCATTTCGGACTGGCCTCAGTCCCGAGGAGTTCGGAGAAGAGGGAGTCTACTGTAGGCTAATTGAATTAGTTGGCTGTAACAAAAGTTACACAAAAGTGTTAATTAGTAGGTTAGAATAGTTTATTAAGGAAGTGGCATAATTTTTTTCTATAAATATCAGCAGTTCCTTTGGTTTTAAGACTATTTGAAAGGCTGAAGGGGACAATTGCCAAACTGTCCCAAGACCTCTCCAGCTTATTTAGAGAAAAAAAATCTATTGAGTTTAATTTAAATAACTTACCTAGTTGCTCTGCCTATGCTTTGCAACTTATTGAGAATACAAAAGAGAATAATGTGGTTCTTTACAGGGACATATTTCCGAATAGGCGGACTGGACTGGCGGCAAATTTTAGGGGCAGCAAAATTTTGAGGGTAAAAAAATAAAATAAGAGGTTTTAATCTAAAAAAATTTTTAGCAAATAATTCTGGGAACGGCAAAACAGCCATTTCAAATATTTTGATTAAGTATAAAACTATTTCAGAACGCATTAAAGTCAAACAAACGTCAATAGTTTATTACACAGCTGTGTAGAGTTGTCCGTGCTGCCCTATTGGTCTGGCGGACACGCTCGCCGGGGGAGCGGGTCGCCGTGCCGGCCGCTATATAGTGACAAACGAAGAAAACACTCCCCTTTGTTTACTTCATACACCACTACGCAGCGGCAGCGCTAGCTGCAAGTTTCTTTTGCTAGGTTAAAATCAAGAAGGAAAGTGTGAACAAAATACTTACTACTGTACCAAACTTAACTAGTTTAAAATTGTATATTCTTTCTGTAAAAGTACGTAATTTTTTCTTTGCGATTCATGTGTTTTTTGTAAATTAAAAAATAATATAAGTAAACATATTTCTTTCATTAAAAATCAAAGCCAATAGCACGTCTCTCAAGTGGATCTGAATAAAGTGTTCAATGAAAAGCTTTATAAGAACCATTGTATACAGACAATTTGTGTGCCGTTTCAAGCCGCAAAATGGGATTGTAAAAATGCTGTTTGGATAAAAAAAGTTGCATTCCGTGTAGGCCTATGCCAGTCAGAATTTGTTGCATAAAAACGGCGCAAAAAACGTCCGTTAAAAGGGGTCGAAATGAAATAGTATATTTCGTACCTAGGGCCAAAAATGAGGTTTCGCCGGCTCGAGATAGTTTTTAAGTTCGAGACGAAGTCGACTTATAACGACCAAGAGCTGTAAAACCATTTCGGTCCGTGGTACAAACGCTATTTTTCACCACACTATACCTTATTAGCACTATTCAGTATTCACCACAATAATGATAAACACTGATAGGCAACACAACTACAACTTTAAGGTTATGTAAAGAAATAATTTGAGGAATAAGCAAAAATTAAAATAAATAGTTGCTAGGCAGCGGTGACAGTAAAACAATTCTATTGCAATGCTATGGATACTGATTGTGTATTTAATATGCATTCATGTTTTAAGAAAGTAAGCGACCAGCTGATTTTGCGGCCCTAGTAATAATTTAGCGTAAAAACCTGCTCGGTCCCCAAATGACGATGACAGCTGGCATGGCCGGCAAAACGCAACTTTCAGCCACCAATTAACGCATGTCAAACAGCTAAAAACATCATAGTGTGGTGAAAAAGTTATTAAATTTGTTGATGCAGCATGCAATATTACCGATTATTTTTCTACAAAATCAGCTGACAGGGCATGTATTGGCCATTGGGGTGATATTAGTGAGGTCGGGGTGTGCGCTGAAAAGTGGGTGGGGGGGAGGGGGGGCGGCAAACTTTGTTGCCTAGAGGCAGCAGATACCTAAATACGTCCCTGGTTCTTTAAAACTACCATAAGAAACATTTACACACATTTTGACTGGGACGGTGGCGTCATTCTGTAATCCAGCTACTAGGAGGTCACGAATTGTGGATATTTATAGAGATACACTGTGGATGCGATACTTCCTGGTGTGGATTAACATCCACACTAGCGAGTACTACGACTATCTGCAGTACTATCCTGGTAATTAAACCAATTCACTAAAACCAAGGCAAGAATGTGGTTCAGATTCCACTGTAAACTGTAGGTCCCTTAGTTGCCATTTAGCTGTTTGGGCTATTAATTAACAGCGCTGTGTCTAAGGAATATGTCGGCCTTAGTCACTAACAAGACTACAAGATCCCGCCATTCATCCTACACTCATATTTGGGTTAAAATACGCACATAGTGGCGTCCCCATCTTAAATAATTAATTGAAGTGATTGAGGTATTCATTGATTAAAGAGGTAAAGCTCGATTACACTTTAATTTTACAAAAACAGTCTGCAGACGACATAAACTAACAACTCGATATATTATAACCTAAACTTTAACTTACCTAATCTAACCTACCTTCAAAGGACTTAATGCAGTCACCAATTCACATAAAGCACGACCTATCACCCTAACATGCCTTTTCTGACATCAAAAGGAGTTTGCTTACACATTCTAGAGGTTTGGTTAGGTTAGGTTATGTTAGAATAGCACTATTTTAATGTGTAATTTCTAAACGGCGAAATATAAATCAATAAATCATTAATAAGGATAAAATACTGGTAACAATAATACATTTTTAACTTATTGGTCTTAGAAAGTGAAAAGTGTAACTTAATCAGGTGATTTTCATATTGCAGAATCGAGTTAGCTAATAAAAATTGTCACTTCCATTTGCTTGACCATGATTGAAAACAATCAGCTGGTTGGTTTACTTAACCCATCCCATAGTACATTCCACTTGTAACGTCATCCATCCTACCTTGTTTATTGTAATGTTAAGTATGTTTTTACGGCGATATCTTGAGAAATATTCATCAGCGGTGAAAATTAATGGTATATTTGGATTCAGGAGGTAAAAAACTATAAAGTGAGATATCAAAATTAAAAATTCGTTTGGAGGCACCTGTACGGAATAATTACCAAAATAACTTTCAACTTCCATGGACCTATCGATTGTTGTGATGGAGTCAGATGTCAGTTTTACCGAAATGATAGGCCTAGTTTCAATCAATATTAGCGTAGCCCAGTTAAGAAACTGTACCCAAAATTTTAGTCAGCCTAACACGTTCGCTGCTGAAAACCTTTAAACAAGGTTGTTTGCATTGATGAAGGACGATATTTCCCGCCCCTTGATAGCGGCGCCTCCCGCCCCTCGCAGTGAACGTGTTAATATAGGCAATATACCTAGCCCTATTAAGTTATGGCAAGTGACTAATGCTCCGTATTAGGATGAACCATAGGCTATCTGTTGGCACAAACAACCGAATGAAAATATCGATCAATATACCTATCGATTATTCGATATATTGTTTGGTTAGTTGGGTAGCGTTAACCTAACCAAACTAACCAAACGATATATCGAATTATCAATATTAGGCTACTCATTCGGTTGTTTGTGCCAACAGATAAGGAAGTGTACCCGGATGAACATCAGTTTGGTTGACGGAAGTGGGTGTACTTACTTCCTTCATCATCTTCTGTTAATTTCAATTTATGGCACACATCACTTAAATCTTCGTCATTGGAAAAACTTCTTTTCTCATGTGTATGCTTTTTGGATCTGTTGTCTTTCTTTTTACTTGAATATGCACTGTTTTTGTTGACTTTCCCCCGCTTACTCATTATAAAATCAGTTATAATAAATTATCGGCTTGTCAAGCACAATATTTAAATAAAGTCTAAAAGAAAAAATAAACAGTTTTGAGAAATAACACTAAAGATGTCTCACTAAAAATAAAAAGTTAGGTTAAAACTCACACTGTCACACAGTGACACAATACAATAGACACAATCACAAAATCACACAGCGCCGTCAGCCAAGCCAATACACAAATATCAGCTGATAAATCAGTAAACAAAATGTTAATTCGTTTTATTTCGCATTTTATTCCTGAGGTTATAAGCTAGTTATATAAACCATGCAGCTGAAGAGTCCATCGAGTACATCCTCTGATAGATCTAGGTTTTAGTAGTCTATGGTTTTAGCATAGATAAAACAAGAGACTATGTTTTATCATAGATAAAACATACTCCCTTGTTTTATCTATTGTTTTAGTTGAGTATTTTTAGACGATATGCTAATGTTTTTAATTTGATAATTCCTATTTAATCAAATTATAAAAAATCTATATATTAATTTGAAACTGTTTTTCTTTGTGACAGCTAATTTGAGAGAACGGCTGGGTGTAAAAACTCGGTAGGGGTCTCTAAAGAAAGGTCTTGGTCTGTAGATGAGTCATCAAAAGAGAAACGTGATAAATTCCCTTGGGGCTCTGCCCCAGTGGCCTTTAAATTCCCATCCCATGTTATTCTTATGGAGGAAAAACAGGGTTTTGTCACAGCTAATTACAGAGAATGGCTGGGCGTAGAAACTTGGTAGGGGTCTCTAAAGAAAGGTCTTAGTCTGTAGATGAGCCATCAAAAGAGAAACAATGTAAATTCCCTTGGGGCTCTGCCCCAGAGGCCTTTAAAGTTACCTCTTCAGATTTGTTTACATTACGACCATATGCATACATTTACACTACTTTTGAATGAAATAGCTGTTAAGATTTAAATTGTGATTTACTAAATTTGTCAAAATGAAGTACCTATTTGCAATGGTTTTTTTTTTCTGATTTTATAATCAATTTTCTTCTGAATCGTGCCATGTTTTGCAATATATAAGTTGTTCTATTACCAAATCAGTGGACAATCCTAATATCACAGTAACTCTTAAAATTATTTCTTATGGCGTTAACTTATATCTATTGTATGGGTTGGTTTCTGTCTTTTTTACCACTTCTTGGATATTGCACGTAGAAGATATTCTTTGGCGTATTGCATCTGTAGTAGACGATACTTGGTTGGTGTAATTTTTAAAATTACAATGGGAAAAAGTGAGAAATACTGGACAATTTGATATACTAAAAATAAAACTGAATTAACATTGTGCTACATTTCTTGAGCAATAATTGAAAGAGCCGATTTGCAAACAATGGAAACAGGAAAGTCATAGAACACAACCATGTACAGTAGAGGAAATAGAAATAATGTTTTTTTTTTCATTTATAATCTATTATAGACAACCTAATGCGGCTATGAGTATGGAAAATTTGTAGAAAACACTAAAAAACAAGGTCAGCTTTTGAAAAAAGATGAGATATTTACAAAAAATTTTGATTAAATCTAAAACTGTTGTGTACATCTTGAGTATTTCCATAATCTTTGAGTCGACTCTTATAAAGTCATCAGAAATTATGAATGTTATTCGTTTTAAAATAACGCCTGTAATGCTTCGCAATTGCTCGAATTCGAGCAACAGGTACACTAGTATAACTAATAATTATTTAGTTAAACATTAGAAAACTGAATGTTTAGCATACATTCAGTAAAATAATTGGATAAAAATATTTTTAAGCACTGCGTGTATCCTTCTTTATCTACCCTACACAATTAGACAATAAGTAGATTTTTATTTTCTTGAATGTTAGAAATTAGAATTTCAAATGCTTTATCTTTTCACTATAAATAATGACGCCCTGATCCGTAGTTTTCAATATACATGTATTTATTAGTAAGTTTAATGATAAAAAAGTATTATAATTTGTACCTTAAAATGTATAAGCATAATTGTGTATCTAAGTTATTATAGACAATGTGGCCTCAATTGTGATGTTTTAAACCTGACTATGCTTGTGTGTGGCCAGCCTGTCTGTCAAACGAAAGTGTCAAGTAAGTGTCAACGTTTTGTTATCTTTCTGCTCAAGCGCAACCTGGCTAAACACAACCTTTCTGTTGACACTAGGTTAGGGGATAAGCTAGTATTTTACACCTGCTTTAATTTACACACAGACGTGTTTTCCATAAGCAATGTTCGATTTCGATGATGAAGACTACGTTATTGAAGAGGATAAAATGTAAGGTTATCCTTAAAATCAATAAAAATTGTTTTAAATTAATGTTGATGTCTTGAATGAAAATTCTTAAGAATGGCCTAGATAGGCATTATCTTGTGTAATGGCATATTCTTGTGTTACCTATTAAAATGCTGCCATATGAGTCTTTTTAACTGACGTTGATCGATTATTATAATTCAAATAGCTATCTATGAATTATTTTAAGTGGATAAGAGCGATAGAAAAAAGACATACCTAAATGTAGGCCTACTTGATGCTTTGTAGTTGAATTTAATTAATTTACCAACAAAAAATGTGATAGTACCTATTTTAATTTATTTTATTTTTATTTCCCAACGGCATAGCCACTTTACAATGAAGAAAACATTCACAACTTGAAATTACAGGAAACAAAATAGTAAAAGTTGTACAATAGTAAACAATAACAATAGTAGTAACAATATCAATAGTAACAAAAATATTAACAATACAAATATTTACAAAATTTATAAATAGAAAGTTGGATTACAACAAGCAGTGCATGAGTGAGATCAAAAAAGAGTATGAAATAGTACTGTAAAAGAGTTGTCACCTATGTAATTTTTCTATATAGGCTAGGTACATTTTTCTCGGTTACACAGTAGGCCTACCCCTCAAAAGTCGTAATGAAGATAAATTAAAAGATAAGAAATTTTTACCTTTCATTTAGGCCTAGGCCTGTTATCTATAATTTGATTATAATTTTCCTCTTTGTGCTATTGCATTAATTTTAATCACCTGTTTTTAGTTTGTGAAAAGGTGAACCCAGATGTTAATTATTTAACTTACTAAAAAAATTCTCTGATACGGACTGGGCACCCATCCATCCCCCCTTGTGTAGCCTACCGTACCCGATTAGAAAATGTCCTAGTGATAAAGAAATAAAAAAAATTCAGATTTCAATTTGATTAATTAACCTGTACTCTTGTTGCTTTCCAGTGTTGTTTAGTGTGTCTAATCATGTGGTCCCTCTACAATATTGATAATCCTGAATGTCAATACACAGGATTGCCCCTTGAACTCGAATACACAATGGATCCAAGTTCATTCGAAGACAGGAAGTAGGTTTTATTTTGTTTTTGGGATTCCCTAACATGGTGGTGGTTTTAATTTGGTTAATTTGATTGGGTTTTAGTTCTAACACTTTACTCATTAATTGGGGTGCTCTAGTTGCTTAATATGGTGCTTAGCCTCGTCTTCTCTTGGAGTTTGATCAAGTAAACTTTGAAGTTTAATAGTTATGTATTGTATTTGTAATCATTTCAAACTTTTTAAAAGCAAACCCAAACAGTTTCAAGCAAAATTATAAAGGCCTATAATCACAGTAGAGTAACCAAAGCACAGTACTGGTAAGTAAGTGAAGATACAAAATCCTATCAAAATTATAAGTCTTATTTTAAAGGTACATCAAACGGCCTAAGTGACCCTAGTCTAGCTTTCAAGCGTCTTTAGGTTTTGTTATTTAAGCATAATTGTGTGTCTAAGTAATTATATACAACTATAAAACTTGTTTTGCTAAACATGTATCGTTTCAACAATGTTTGTTCAACATTGCTCATATTTATTACCTAATTATGCTATGTTTATAAAGTGATTTAATCCTATTTAATGTATATTCGAATGTAAAAATGTTGTTACCGGTACCGTTGAAAGATAAATATATATAAAAAAAAACATGTTTTTAATAACAGTTCAAGCAGTTTTTTAATAAATCTGATTTCCAATACCTAAAGTAACCTTGAGTAGGCCTACTTGACAATGCAATTTGTATGGATCTATTAATTCTAATTTTTATTTTTATTAATTTTGCATTCAAAATATTCTTAAAGCCAAACACACCGCTTTAGTTGCTCATAGGCCTAAGAGTTTGGTCTGCAAAGTAGGCAGCCTATTTAAAGTGCACTTGCTTTTATTGGTCATCATTAATCGTTTTGTGGTTTCATCGTTGATTTCAAGTGCTGAAACTGTATGTAAAACTCCAAGTGGTGATGACAAAATGAGTAAACCTACCAATGGAGTCATCGCTAATTCCGATGACACTAAGAATCCAATAATCGGTGACCCAGAAAAACCTAGGCACTCTGGAACTGGGGATTTAGATGTTAGTGTCAATATGGGAGGCTTTGTGTAAGTGTTCTGAAACTTAACGTTGATTTGTGTGGTTGAATTTTTTCATCACGTTTGATATTGGAAGACACGTAGGCCTATGGTCACACCTGCTTTTTTGGTTTGAAAAGTATGGAGTAAAAATATTAAGTATCGTAGTTTTACAACTCCAAAGGTTTAGTTGTTTGATACAGACTATGTTGGAAAATTTGTTTGAAAACATGCGTACCGTATCTTTTTTGCACAGATGTAAAGAGTTGAGGTAAAATTGTGTATTTAGAATTTTTATTTCCCCCTCCCTTGTGTTTAATCATCCTCATCTTAAACGTTTGGTCAAAAGTTGATCAATTTAATTGTTTTAATTGATATTTTAAAATTTAGGCTATTTGGTTTGTAATCAATAACTTTGTGTGTGAAGCTGTGATATCCATTGTAAGATTCATATTACATGAGGGTCGTTCGGAAAGTAACTTCTGGTCGTTTACACAAAATAACTATGTAAATAAAACAATGTATTAACTATAAAATATTAAAACTCCATCTACAATTTATTCTTCAACATAACATGTACATTTATAGTTTCTTTTTTCAAGCTTCTAAATTTTGTCTCCAAAAAATCTGCACCAGTGCCTTAAGCCGATATACGGCCAAATTTTTTCAGTTCTTTGTTAACTGAGACCCAGCCACTTCTTCCCATGCAAAAAAAAGATTCTCTCCCGTCGTTGGGAGCCAAATCTGTGTTGTTAGTCAGATGTTGGAATATTTCAAAATAAAACTTTCCCAGAAGGTCTTTCAACTTGAGCAGCTTAATGTCGTGTGTTTTCATGCTAAAGTCACTACATCAGAGATCAACATGCCTCAACCCTTTGTTTTGTATACCTTTCTGTTAAATCCATTATAGTACTACTTGTTTCGCCACATTTGGCCCTTACACTGCACAAAATTCATGATAAACAGCTGTAGTAGTACATTTTTTACTTTAAAAATCGTTTAAAGATCGGACCACACACTTGTGGCAGGTTTTTTTTACCGTGTCGCACATTTTTAGAAGCTATAAAATATAAGTAGGCGACCGCTCAATGTTTACACTACCACGACTGACACTTTATTGACTTGCCGCACACTTACGAATTGCAGCACTACCCCCAAGGACTCTTCAAGTACAGAAGCCAAACGAAGGATACTTTCTGAACGGCCTTACTAACCCTGTAGTTAAAAGTTTCAAACAAAATTTGTTAATATTTATGATTTCTTTGTGTAGGCATTAAATTGACATACAATACTTTTTTACCCTACAAAAAAATTTTGTTAATAATTAGTTTTAGAAATTATAAAAGAATCTAATACTTTTAATACTTTTCTTTTTAATACTTTTCATTAATGTAAAAATTCCCAGTTCAACAAATGTGTTATCAATTGATGAAGTTTTAAAAACTATAGGGCCTAACAACATTTAAGACAACAAATTAAAAAAAATCAAAACAGGATAACAGTTATAAAATTTGATTTCATTTACTTTTCTAAAAAATCACTAAATTCATACAATTAAAAATAAAAACACTCTCGACTTTACTGAGGTATACTGTGTTTACTTAGGTAAGGTATAATACTATCTTGATTCAGACAAAAATAAAATATAGTTACTGTACAGTGTACAATCATAAAAAGAATGCAATAGAAACATTTCTGAGCATTTTTAATTCACTTGCGGTTTTTATGTTTTTATTAATTTAAGTGTCCGCGATATTCTTGATCTCCCAAAAGAAGACTCAAAAACAGATGATGATAAAAATGCAGAAGAGGAAAAGAACGATGATGAAGAAGACAATCTTTTGGACATGTAAGTCTGTTTAGTATTCATTTAAGCACATTTAACTATAGATTGCAAAAATATTTATTTGTATAATGTGTAATGTGACTTTTTTTATCAGTTTTGCCTTAAGGGATTTTATTTGGCCTTTTTGGCTTAGTGGTTTTTAAACCGATGCATCTGCAAAGTACTATAATATATCAGACTTAGTTTTATAGGTACTTAAAACTGTACCATATGATTGTCTTGACATAAGCTAAATTTAGCATTCCCGGCATATTAGTAAAAAGTGTTGATTATTTTTTTTTCAGAAAATCTATAGAAAATGGAATAGAAGATTCAATTCCTATGTATGGATATCAGCGGTCTTATCCTGACACACTGTAAGTTTAATTTTTCTTAACAGTTGTTAAATAATTAATAAGTATTGTTTTGCGTAGTTGTGCAAGGCTTTTAGATTGCTTTGTAGTATTAAACTGCTTAAATGTAATGTAATCATGCACTTTAAGGAACTTAGGCCTATAAAAAGACAATCAAGTAAAAAAATATGTTTTAGTGAAATGTTTATGTACGGTAGCTGAAAATGTTGGCACATTATAAAAAAAGACTTTTAAAACTATCAAAATATTAGGTCGAGTGTTCATTTACACTTTGGATTTAAAGGGATACCATTTAAAAAAAAACCTGATTTTCTGAGGTGGGCCAGTTATTATATTGTATTAAGTAATTGTGATTTAGCTGATACTTGTATATATTGTTTATATAAAAGTACCAACATGATTGGTACAAACTAAATTTTAGATTACCGTAGATCTAAGGGGCCTAACAGGCCTAACATCACTTCTTCGGCCTGGAGATTGACAAAAAAAAGCTGAAACGCAAGGCTTCTCTTTAAAGTTTCAGACTTATAAAAACTTGTGTGGAGGAACAAATACCTTTGCAGTCTGTGCACAGCATTTAAGCCAAAGTTGAGATATATGCATGTTAAATTTTATTCTTTTAGATATTCATCTATCTATAGTTAACTGTTTGTTAACTTCAATATTATTTATTTATTCATTTCTGTTGCAGATGGCAATACGTTTGCTTGTTTGGTGCACCTGTATAAGTTGGCCCATACCACAGTAGCCTCATATATACACTTCAAGCTTTTGTGCTTGATCTTCACAGTGTTGTTGTTGTATGTTTGAACGTAGAAAAATGTAAAATAATTAACTGGGTTCCTGTATGTTGAGGAAGAAGAACTAAAAATAGCTGTGGGTTGATTTTTTTTTAAATTTTGATATTGGTAGTATGGATTAGATAGGGAAGCAAGGGGTGGGTGTATTCATATTTCGATCCCCCCCTAAATAATCAAATATTTTTAAAATATGTATTTACAACATAGTGAACATTTCAGAAAGTATACTGGGTTTTGGTTGATTCTTCAGAAAAAGTTATTTTTTTTATGTGTTGTGCTATTAATAATCAATAAGTAATTTGTAAAATAGGCATTACATTCGTCAATGCAGCTCAAATATTGTTGTAACTACGTTACGGCCGTTTCGGCATTACAATGCCATCGACTACAGAAAGGTCAAATTTCTGTGAACAGAGTTGATAAGAGCACCTGTTTGTATATTCCTGTAGAATAAAAACTATATGATTTTTGTAAAACTGTAAATAAAGTGTAAAATAGTTGAGACAATTTTAAAAGTAGACATTTGTTTATTATCAGAGCCATGGAAAACGGTAAGAGTTCAATTACTTTTTACATAAAATGATAAAATAAACAGTTAATAACGTCACTGGTATTTATACAATTTTTACATTTTTCAGACAAGGATAGATGTAAGATTTTGTTCATTCTAGTTGTATTTTCTGGATATTGTTTACTCCTTAAGTAAAACCTCTTCACAATTTGTTTTATGAAAATAATAAATTTGCTTATACTTGAATATACTGTCAAATTTAAATGTTAATACTTAGATAGGATTCAGTATAAATAAAAATGTCAGTTTTTTTTCATTAAAATAAGACAGAAGTGATATTGACCTTACTATGCATTTTCCATGGGCCTGAATATTGTTGGTAGCATTTAAAATAGAGTAATACTGTAATTTGTTGTTGTTGATAGGTAAAGTGTATTTTTTGTTTTATTGTTGTATATTTAAAAGTTCTGAGCACAGTAGCACAGTGTGTTATTTCCCATGGTACCCTGTATCAGAATGTATTAATTGTTGTTTTAGAATGCCTGTTTATGGATATAGGCAAGGCAGTGCTCGCTTTGCAAGGGAAAACGGCGGAACGGAGTTCCGGTACCTCTCTTTTGGAAAGATAAAAATATTTGCATAAATAGGTACAAATCACATCAAATCAGTTACAGTTCCCGGCATCTAATTTTTACAAATCAAGCACTGATATTATAGGTAGCTTTGTAAAATTTTACAAATTCCTTTATTTCATTGTAGCATTTTAAATTTCAACAATAAGAATTAATCCTAGTGTTGTTCTTTGTAATACCTTTATTTAACTCATCGAGCCAATGTTTTTAAATTGGTGCGATTCAAAGTGTAATATTATCTTTTTATGTAGTCCTAAAAAAACATTCAATAAATCAAATAAGAAGTGTTTAGTGTGCAGGTTTCATGAAAAAGAGATACTTTGGGTCATTCCAAATACACAACGACAACAATAAAAATAACCCAAAAAATTTAAAATATGGTACGAGTATTCATGAACTCCCAATGAATGCAGTTGCATCTTAAATTTTGAAATATTTCCAAACATATTATAGGATACATAATTTTAGTTCCTCACCTTATAACCAAGCATGGCAAATGCTGTTTTTAAAAACTTTACTCGTCTTAGTCACAAAAATAAATAAAAAACAATTACCTGAATTTGTTCCCATTTAACAAAATAGATTTTAAAAAACACATAAGAGTGTAAATCTCGGAGTTTTTATATTATAAAACACAGTTTTCTTTCACGGAACTACACAGCTCACTGTTGTAATTTACATAATTATCTCTAGAATTGGTAATCGTCAGCCAGTTGGCACCTGTGATAGTGTGTGCTCTCACTATCACTAATGTTGATAAACTAACCTCCAACCTTCAATGAACAGCCGAGCTTCCATTACTAGTTCATTTTACCTTTTCCAAAATTTTCCGAATCGTCGGTTCTGTGATGAGATACTTTACCCCAAAACCTCCTGATCCTACTGGGTAAGCTTTAATAGTAACTGACAGATAAATGCTAACCTAAAATGAAATTTGGTTTTAGGTAAAAAAAAATTAAAGAGGTTATTTTATAGTTATATAGAATTATTAAATTTATCTAACATTGTAAATACTTAGTAAAAATAACATTCTAGTATATGGGTGTGTTTGGTAGCTTGATGATTAGCTTTTTTTACTTCTGTGCAAGAATGACAGGTCAATCCTGAATTAAAAAATCATAATTAGGACTGCTTTCCAAAAAATGTAGGTTTCTTTCCTAAAAAAAATCCTAGGGCACTTTGAATATCAAAATAAATATCTCTGAAGCCATAAAAATTGTAAACAACCACAAGTTTTTGTTAACTTTAAGAAGATAATCTAATAATTGTAATAATATTTTGGTGCCATTAAGAGAGATAATTTTACAGAAAACAACATGAAGATGTTCAAACTTGTTTTTCTTAAATTTGTCGTTTGCTGGTGGCGCTGCCTACGGATTGACAGGCAAAGCTCTCTCAAAACACTTAATGCTTTTTACCATGCGGTTGGCATTCTGGGTTATAGTAGTGCGTTTTCTGTGATAGGGGTGAGAACCTATCAGAATAGTAGCGAAAAAAGTAAATGAAACGGTTTTAGTATTAGGTTTGATCTAGTTTACTTGTCACCAACATATGAAATAACTATCCTAACCTGACCAAATCCAGCTTGCGTTTAGAATCGAGTTAACAGATTTCAACCTAACAATCTAGTGTTCACTTGTTTCTAATCCTTGTCTACTCAATTCCACCATTAGTTATGACTAACAGGGATGGTGTTGGATGTAATGTACCGGTAACCATATATTGCATGTAGAATGTTGACGTAACCGTTTTTGGCATGTAACTTAACCGCATGTTGTAGGGGGATGACTATCACATCAGGGATAGTAACCATAACCAAGGACCAGGGGAATCTTATAGGCATCAGTATTGGAGGAGGTGCCCCACTCTGCCCTTGCCTGTACATTGTCCAGGTACAGTCTAAACAACAATTTTATTCAGTTTTCCCCCCTATTAATTGAAGAAAGTATTGTTTTCTTTTTAATTTTGGAGTTGGAGATTTATGTAAAAATATCCGTTTTGGTGCCTCTGAATCAAAAAAGTGATTTTCTAAATTAAGTCTGTGTGTTTAGATGTTTACAGAGCTATATACTACTACATCTGTGGTCAGATTTTGAAATTTATGCAGTATCTCCAGGTCTTTTGTAGTTTTTTGAAATGTTGATTTTTAATGGTTATTTTTTCATTTAAACCCATAAAATCCCGGAAAATCAGATTTTTACAATAGCGGCTTGAATAATTTTGATTGGAATTTATTGTTTTTTTAACCCTGAAAAAAAAAAATGGAACAACCTTCAACGCTTTAAAGATTATGGTTCAAAAGTGAGGACAACTTTTGTGACGTTTCCCATAAGAATTCATACTTACCCCCTCCAGTTACCCATGAAAGTAGGATTTTCAATTTCATTGTCAAGCAAATAGAGAAATTGTACATTTCAGTTTGCTAAATACTGTATATTTTCATAGCCAATTATACTTAAAATTGTAGTTGGTCTCACTATAACTGCATGCAAATCATCCAATCCTGTTTGACTTCTTGTTCAGCTCTCAACACATATTTAGTTTTTGGCTTGTGATTTACTAAGACTCAAAACTAAATAATTGACTTGTTACATCAATGGCAATGCACCACCAGCGCCAGGGCTGCGTTACGGGCAGTGGAGCCCTGGGCAAAACCCAAAAGCAGCGCCCCCTTTTTTCCTAGTGCGGGTGGGCGGTGGTCGTGGGACGTACCCCGCGGGCGCCCTCCAATCACCAGCACCCCTGGGCCTAGTCTGACCGTTTACAATTTATAAAAGCGGGCCTGACCAGTGCTATTTTTGGTTGTCTGTTTCTAAACTGATGTCTGTTTCTCAGGTGTTTGACAACACCCCGGCAGCCAAGGAAGGTACTCTACAGAGTGGGGATGAGCTGGTCGGAGTCAACGGACAATCTGTCAAGGGCAAGACCAAGGTCGAAGTGGCCAAGATGATACAAGCTTGCAAGGTTTGTACAACAAAACGTTTTTGTTTTTCTATTTTTGATGTGCTTTTGTATATCGACTCATGTCAAGTTTTTTGTGCAAAATCTTTTACGATGTTACAGAAACAAATTCCTACAATCTTAGGATCACTTTTTTATCCTCCAATATCTTCTATGTATTGAAACAAACCTGCCAAACTCGATGGGTACTTTCACGGTTTCACACCAATTCAGAGTTCTCTAGCATAAATGACATTTTTTTTAGGGGGAAGAGGGGAAATACTTTTACGCACACAGGTAGCCAGGACGTAGTATGAGACTTCTGAATTGATCAGACTACTCACTAAAATCCCTGTAATCTGTTGGACACATCCAGGGATTGTTTGTTACATTAGCATAAGATAGTCAGAGTTGAGTTATTAAAGTGTTGAACATTTCACTTTGCTTTATGATAAGAAAAGGGATAGCAACAAAAATGACGATTGAGTACCTTACGAAATGTTGTTTATTGCTTTGTCAAGTACAATATTTCCACATTATGTCTGATGGATGGAATATTCTAATCTATTTTCACTCTTCTCTAGGGCGAAGTTCAAATAAAGTACAATAAGCTGCATGCAGATCCACAGCAGGGCAAGAGTTTGGACATCATATTGAAGAAAGAGAAACATCGGCTGGTGGAAAAGATGAGTTCGTCCACAGCTGATGCGCTTGGTCTGTCTCGGGCAATACTGTGCAACGACGTGCTCGTGAAGAAGCTCGATACGCTGGAGGCGACTGAGGCGATGTATCGTTCTCTCATCGACCACACGAGCAAACTGCTCAATGCTTTCTTCCTTGTGCTCAAACAGTACAAAGGTAAGTTAATTTCAGTATGAGAAAATATATAAACTTAGGGTACTAATTATTATTATTATTATTATTATTATTATTATTTGTTGTCATGAGAGCCGAAGCCCCCTGACTGCTTACCCGGTACCTATCCTACAGGACATACCCGGGCCCCATGATGTAGGCCGAAGCTTACGCATCAACCTTTAGCACATCATGGGCGGATGACTTAAGGTCATCAGGCTCGCCGGCTGCCGAAGCAGACCCTTCGGAAAGAGGGTTGCCCCTCAATCCTAACCAGGGATTCCGGCTGCTTGTTTAAGCGTCACTCCACCTGGGTTCCACTAGGTCGGAACCTAGAGGTCCATAGTAGAGCGCCCCGACGCATTTAGTGCAAGCAACACTCGGGACCTATCTCATCCCTGACAGGCAGAACCCGCCATCAATAGCCAGGAGGAAGGGGACCATCAGCACGCTGACGGGGGGAACCCCAACCTCCCATTTACACCGCTGCCCGATCGAGGCCTGACCCATTGCTGGGAACCAGAGATATCCAGAGCGATAGATCCCCAGATACCCCTGGCGGGCTCGGACCCAGCACCCGATCTACTTCGTTTGCCCGTCAGACCCAACATCACTGCCAGGCCATCAGGGTTTCCCAAAAGGAGGCAGGTATAGAAGTGGGACCCACCCGGATGAACCTATCCACCAGAGGTGGCGACACCCTTGACTCAATTGAGGTTCCGGGAAGAACCCCCCACACTCAAGATAACCATACCGTCCGTGCTCAGAGACAGGGATAGGTTTGCATAAGTACCTACAAACCGTTGCCCTCACACTGCGGAAAGTTACGTTGCCCTTGAGTGTCCCCGTGAGCTGCGGGTACTTGCCCGTTTTCACCTCCAGGAAAGGTTACTTCCAAAGTCGAGGATTTGCCCACTGAATGCTGGTCGCACACCACAAGCAGGCCGAAGCCCAAAGTACCACAGACACAGGTAGGTTAGAGATTATGATGTACTTCCATCTCTCCTAGAGCTAAACACCCCTCCATCCTGGATACAGGAATGTCACTGGGACCCGATGCCCAGTCGACCATGTCTGTGGCCAACTTGAAATGCCGATACCAACACGGAGCATTTACCTCCCCTCTGGGGGCTAGGTATTTCACCTCCCAGGACGAGGCTACTTCCAAAGTCGAGGATATGCCTCACAAAATGTCAGTCGAACACAACAGGTAGGACTCAGTCACAACCACAGTTACAGGTAGTTGAGGAGAGGCGGAATTAACGGCGTCACTGAGAGCTAAACACCCCCCCCACCCTGAATGGAGGGAATGTCACTGGAGGCTCCCCCTAAGGGGCTGGCGCTTACCAGTCGTCCATAACTGTGGTCTACCTGAAGTGCCGGGTCTGACACCCGAATTGGTTGCAACTTAGGGTACTGTCCAAGAACACAGTTGGAACATAAAAGTAGAAAAAAATTGAAGATCTAGTTGTACTTTGTGAAAAACCCTTCATTGTGTAATAGGCCAACCTTTAATCTTCTAGGCTATTGAAACATCGAGTTTTTTAGTCTTGCCAACAATTATTCTTCTCCATTTCCTTCCATATCCTACTTGATAATGGAAAAAAATCAAAAGCTTTTTATTGGTTCAAAATTGGACCCAGCTGCCCTTGATCACACTTATAATAAATCATCCTGACTAAAGTACCAGCTGATATTAGTCAGTAGTAACAAAGTTATCATCTCATTCAATCAACAAATCCTTCACTAAGCTGTTGTCTCTAGTCTGGTGAGGTCGTCACAGTGGTGTAGTCGTAAGTTTTCCAGTGTATCTCCAACATCTAAGAACTAACCAACATAATAGTATTATTGGAAAATGAAGAATGGAACACTAATGTTCCCACACATTCTCAACACACACTCCACACCACTGTACATTTATTACTTATTAGTCTTTCCGGCTATTTTCCGTCTCTTATTTCCATCGGTCAACCGAGTAGACATCTATTTCTTACATACCTAGCCTACTTCCTAAGGGCATTTCTGATTTGTTGAATAGTTTCCATTTAACACCAATTTAAATTTTTCTTTAAACCTAAAAAAACACCTACTACCCTTGTGGATTTTGCCAGTACTGCACCTTAACATTGAGGGGAGTGAGCGTGAGACTTCGGTCCACGAGGTCCCGGGTTTAAATTCCTAAAATCACCAAAAGGATTTTATCTATATAATAGCTTTGCAAACTCTAGGCCTAGCCAAGCTATGTAAAAAATCCCTAGCTGGAGTCCAGAAAAAAATCTGTACCCAAACATGGTTGGTTGCAGCGTTCGGTGAGGTTTTCTGCGCCATCGGAGTGAGAGAGCCCCAGAGGCGCGCCAGTGAAGTGTTTGGTCAGTTCGGAGGATATCACCGCCAGATGGCCAACCTGGGCGTGCAAGCGTTGGAGTCTCTCAAGCCTATATTGGCTGACCTAGACACTCATCTCACTAAAGCTATCCCCGACACCAAACAGACGATCCGCAAATACGCTGACACCAAATTTGAGTACCTCTCGTACTGCTTGAAGGTTGGTGTTTACGTTGATTAGTTTATGAGACTATTTGTTAATCTAAATTATTATGCAGCTCATAAATTTTACCTTTTAGCAAATTTTCCAAATAGGGAGATTAAGCTATTAAAATTAATCTTTAGTAGGTTAATTTTCTTTTGAACATGGTATATCAATGTTTGCTTCTTAGATTGATAAACCAAATTAATTGGGGTGGTTAAAGACCAACCATACAAGGTACTTTATCACTGCAGTCAACACTGATTCGCTTATATGACGACTTCACTGTCTGTAGATCACCCACAGATCAGAAGTCTATCGTGACAGGCAGAGTTGAGGACTTTAAAAGAAATTTCTATAAAGTATTTTAAATACTATCTTAATATTTAACAACTTGTTAAAATAAACTGATTTCATGCAAAAGAGGTAAAAGAGGTATGCTCCAAAAATAGCATGGGACTTGCAAACCAACAATTCAAAACCAATGGGATAATTTTTCTGAAAAAGCACGCTTGATTCAAATTGTTTTAATACTTTTAACAACAGCTGTGTGTAATGGTAAGCTAAATTGAAAGTCATAATTTAATACAGATACTAGTGCACCTGTTGCTCAAATTTGAGCAATTGCAAAGTATTCCAGTATACAGGGTGTTTTTTTAAAAACTTGCATCTTTATTTATGTAAAAACCGCAATAGATAGAAAAATGCAGTTTGCGGGAACCATCTATTGAAGTAGGGGGCCCAATTGTTTTGAATTCAACGTTACATTCACATTCCCCCCCTGCCCCCAACTTATTTTTTTTAAATAGCAAGGTACCCCTTGTGACATATCAAATGAAAGAGCATAAGAAAAGAAAATGTTTGATGAAAAAAAATTAAAAATCGGTTCATAAATTTGCGAGATATTTCCCCCCCCCTTCCCCGGAACTTCATTTTTTTTTAATAGCAAAGTACCCCTTGTGACATATCAAATGAAAGAGCATGAAAAAAGAAAATTTTTGGTGAAATTTATTTTTCATTTGATATGTCACAAGGGCGGGTACCTTGCTATTAAAAAACAAGTTATGGGTAGGGGAAAAAGGGGGGGATTATCTCACAAATTTATGAGCCGATTTTAATTTTTTTTCACCAAAAATTTTCTTTTTTCATGCTCTTTCATTTGACATGTCACAAGGGGTACTTTGCTATGAAAAAAATAATCAAGTTCCGGGGAAGGGGGGGGGGATATCTCGCAAATTTATGAACCGATTTTTAATTTTTTTTCATCAAACATTTTCTTTTTTCATGCTCTTTCATTTGATATGTCACAAGGGGTACCTTGCTATTTAAAAAAAATAAGTTGGGGGCAGGGGGGGAATGTGAATGTAACGTTGAATTCAAAACAATTGGGCCCCCTACTTCAATAGATGATTCCCGCAAACTGCATATTTCTATCTATTGCGGTTTTTACATAAATAAAGATGCAAGTTTAAAAAAAAAACACCCTGTATAACAATAAATAATTAATTGTTAATATAACAGTCATAATTAATTTCCGATTACTTAAAAGAGTCAACTCAAAAATAATGTAATCAATCACTCCTCTACCTACAGTTATCAAAACTGAAAACAAACTCACTCTGAAAACGAACGCTTTTGTGTGTATCATATGTGTTTACTATGAACAGCTGTAATTAATACAAATTATTTGTCTGTTAAATAAACAAAATCTTTTCTTCATAAGAAATACATTAGGATTTTGATGGCCTTTGGGATTTTGACACATCATTTTTTTAAATCCGTCCATTATTAACGGAGGAGTAGTGTTTCGTAGAAATCGCCTTTACGTATTATATATAAGGATAAGGATCCTAATACCACATGTTTCCAATTTTAGTATAACCAGCTGTTTCAAATATTAGTGTAAATTTCAAAGTATTCAGCTGTTCAAATGTAAACATTTTCTCCCTAAGAATAACATTGGAACTTTGAAGGCCACTGGGGCAGGGCCCTGATGGAATTCCAAAGTTTTTTTGTTTGATGGCAAAACTACATGCTAAGACCTTTCTAACAACACCTTGGACACGGTGATCGGTAGCACCACCGCTCCAAAACAATTATGACAAAAATATGCCTATCGTATTAAATATATAGATTATCAAGATTGCTTCTCAAAAATGTAAAAAAGACTGTCTATTTTTATTGTTAGATAACACTTATGAGGAAAAAATGTACAAGAGCTTCTATTTTTTCAACACTAATATAGAATTTGTAATTTTTAAAGAAAGTTACAAGCCTGTCTTGACAGTAATGTTGCCTAAGCACTTGATATTGGCCTTTCTTTAACCAAAGCTATCAGCGATTACATACATCACAAACAATTTCAATCCAACTTAATAGTACCACAAGGCAGGGAACTAACAATATTGCAGCTGTAGTTCTTCTGATATGATACTTGCCAATTGTGTTAAAAATCAATCTTCTGATTGGCAGGTGAAGGAGATGGATGATGAGGAATACAGTTACTCCGCGTTGCAGGAGCCGTTGTACCGAGTAGAGACAGGCAACTACCAGTACAGGCTGATCCTTAGGTGTAGGCAAGATGCCAGGGCCAGGTCAGATTCCCTTTCTTTTCACAATAATTAGCATGATACAATAAAAGTGTGCGATTTACTTACTTCTTAGTATAATTACGATAAGTTCCTGTCTGTGACGCAGTGAAGTCATAAGACCTAGTTTGTGGTTTTAGTGACCGTGGAAGCCTTAATTAATTCTTAAGTTCCTTTGGGTCTTTTTGAGCCATGGTCTTCGGGAGGTGACTGTGACGTTTCTGATTAGTTGCAGCAACCCTTCGGTGCAATTTACGATTGAACAGAACAATTCCTAAACAGCTAGCTAAATTCGTAGCAGAGCTAGTCATATTATGTTTAAATTTTAAATATTTGATCAATAAGCTTGAGAAAGATGGCAACTTTGCGTGGGGGAAAAAAGTCATTACACTAAGCTTACACTCATTTTCTACATTCTATACTTCAACAAGTCTCTCCTTGGACTAAATATTGTGTGTTTCCTTTTGGAATTTTTCCATGGTAAAGGCTGCTCTGCCATCTCTTTATTCCAAAAATCACAATTCAACAGAATTGATTCGGGCGTGCTGTCGATTGCAATTCAACTTAAACAGCTGGTATTTTTTCAGTTGTATGATATGGTCATTTCCTGAAGAACAAGACTTCACAGCACATTTTGGGTGTGGGAAACATTCTAGTTCTTTTCTCTTGTTTATTTGCAACTGTTGGACTAAAAGTCGAGAAACCTCATAATCATGACCTTGACATGTTGCCTTCACAATCAAAATTAAAGTTTTCGTTTACCTCTGCCAGTCTCCCATAACTTATTTGTTGCTTTGTTACAATACTGTTTCATTTTGCAGGAAGATTTTCATCAGGAGAACACAATGTCTTCACTCAAGCCATTTTCCACTTACGAGAACTGTAGTTTGTTATCACAGGTTTGCCAAGCTGCGCTCGGACGTGTCAGTTAAGCTAGAGATGCTAGACAACAAGCATGTGCAGGGTGTTGTGGCCCAACTACACAAGTTGGTGTCGTCTCTCAGTAGGTTCCACCAGGAGACGCTCAATGTCTTCCCTCAGGCCATGTTCCCCATAGAGATGGACCTGAGTCGCACTGCTTTCCATTACAAGTCTACGACACCGGTAGTTCAGGTAACCTCAATAGTAGTAGAACAAATCTAGTACACACAAGAGTTATTTTGAATTTGTATTTACCAACGCAATTATTTGGAATTTTTAACATTTTTGTTGCAAAGGAACGATCCTTTACCTGATCACTTGGGTCAGTAGTGGAGATTGATCTACTAGAAAGCTGAGTCTAGATGTAGAGATTGCTCTAGCACTTAGAATGGATGCGGAGATTGCTATGCTTTAGCGCTTGTGTCTAATACATAGATTGCTCTAGTACTGAAGTCGGATGTGTAGATAGCGTTGCATAATAATCAGATGCATAGATTTCTTTAGCATAGGTTATGAGCGGCGAGGCTCACATAGAGAGTAGAGATGTGTCCTGGTCGGCGGCCTGGGAGCAAATGAGGGGGACAGCCTGGGCAGGCTTGCTTTTTAAGCTATGGGTAAGGTCGGAGTATTTTGTTAACGATATAGGTCAGGGAAAAGTGACTTACGGTAAGTGGAACGTTGGATAGGAGGATCGCGACGTGAGTAAGTTAGGGGATTGCCAAATAGGGAAACAACTGAAAAAACAGATCGTTACATAATTGAACTCGTAACTTAATTTCAAGATTGGAAATAAGAAGGAAACCTGCCCAACCCTTTGTATAACTGAATCCCAAAGTTTCTTAGTGATCAGATGGACAGTTTGGCAATACATAAAGGCTGCACAAAAATATTTATTTTCACATGGATACAGATACTAACAAACTGATACAATTTCTTTACTTACAGTATGAAGATGACGATGAAGATATTCTTGACGGGGAAGAGGCGGTTGAAAATAGTTTGGATGAGAATGGAGTCACAAATTTGCTTGAAGGAGTGGAACAGCTGAAGTTAGACTTATCTCAACCACCTCCGGAGCAGAACATTGAGTCAGACTTTGACCTTTTCAAAGACCTCCAGATCAACAACTCCGATCAGCTGATCCCAGGGCTTGATCTCTCCCCTCTCTCGCCAACAGAAAATGACAACTTGATTGGGATCAACTGAGACTTCAATGTTCTATTTTGCATTTATGAATTTGCTGTTGTGTTATTGCTTGTGTGTTATAAATCCAGATTATTTATTCCACGATTTTAAAACTGTTGTCTTAGTACCTTGTCTCTTTTATGGCTGTTTTTCACTTGGAAGAAAAATATTTTGGTTTAGTGGAACAAATGTAATAAAGGTCAAGAAAATGAAATAATTAAGTACACATAGCATAATCAATCAGTATGCTAGTTTAATTGAAAAGTTGTCTTAACCTTAAAAATAAAAAGTTAAGATTTTTCCAAAGTTAAAATTTGAGTCTAATGAAAACCCACTTTGTTTAGCTTGGGCTAGCAAGGTGGTTTGTTGGAGAAATTGGGTCATTTATACATTAATAGCTTATGTATCTATCTATATATTAATAGGCAAGCATGTTTCTTTAAAACCTTTTTTCTCAGCTCGTGTGAATCGTAGGGAAAATCTACGCATACCGTTGGAAAGCTATTTTCCTGTAGGTGTGCAGAATCCCTTTATAAATTTAAATAGGCTCAAAGATAAGCACAAAAAATGAGTTTAAAAATTTGAAAAAATTAACATGGATCTTATGCGTTGCTATGCTGGTTACGAAATAACAACGAAATATAAACAGAAAATCAAAACAAATGGAAGAAACTCCAATCACATGTTTTATTTACAGTGTGGGGTGAAAATAGATAAGTGAGTACAGTACATTAGATATTTTTGGTCGAGTTTCGACCACTGGACGACCTCTCGTTTATATTAATTGAAACATCTTGAGGAAAGAGATTAAGTTCAGCCAGCTTACATGAGCAAAGTAGATGTTGTAGGTATGGAAAAGATCACTTTAGCATTAGGAATATTAAAGATTATACCAGTTTCAAATCTTAACTGAAATTTCTCATCAATCTCTGAGGAAATTTATCAGGAAGAAAAATTAGTAAAGGTTTAAGATAAACTTTAATTTTCCCCAGGTAAAATAACCAAACCAATCCTTTAAAAATAGCTACTTCCCTATAGGGAAATTCGCTAAAAGTAACCTGGAATGCATTTGGAAAAGTAGACGGATACAATTTGTTACAGTGACAAAAACTTTATTGGAAAGAAATAAAAAAAATAGTACAGTAAACTTGGCACTAAAATGACATTTGATGATCAAATATTTTGAATCAAACGTAACAAAAGAAAAAAAACAGTGATCAAAATCATTGAAGAACAGGGAAATTCTATACTAACAACAAATAAATATAACAAAATCAACAAAATATAAATTCTGTAATGTATAATAATAAAATACGGTTAAAACAACAAATCTAAATACAGTTAGTGATCAAATTTGTGCAAAATATTACATATTAAAAATAACAAAATATAACATAATTTTACATAATATCATGACGTAAGGTTACACATCACTATTAACTGCAAAACGTGCATTAAAACGTGAAAAAGTATAAACAATTTCACACTACTATTAGCCTATTTGAAAAAAAAAACTGAAGAATCATATTAAAAAATATTAATGCCCATCAACAAAACCACGACTACAAAATGTAAAGTCTTAACAGTAAACTTGCAAATTGTTAAATTATATTGCATGTTTGTAAACAAAATAATACCAAAAACAAATACAAATTAAAGACAGCATCACAATTTGTTAGGTGTTCTCTTTTAGGAGTAAAACGTTTACAGCATGCCAAACAATTGAAATAGGCCTTGGTAAAATTATTTTTTTTTATGGTGATCAAGAAATTTACTTGTACATTGTTTCCTGCAAATTAACTTCCAATTATTAACAAAGAGGTTGATAACATTAGCGTAAAATCAACCTTGGACCTTTTTAATTGTATGCGTTGATAAAAAATACTTAGCATTGATGTGAACAAGAAACAATGAAGATATGAAGACATTCTTATGGTAAATTAACTTCTATTGCAGAGAATCGCTGTATTGCTATATTATCAGAAATTGTCTGAAAATATTAACTTCATCTTTTATACTGGCAAGCAAGAATAACTAATTGATCTTTGGTATTAATCCTTTGAATAAAAATGTGCTTAAGACTGAACTCAAGAGTTTAGGTGTGTATATTGGCTAAGGGTCATCACAGTGAATAGCTGATGATTTTAAAGTTAGTAATAAAGAACATTAGAAAAAAATTGTGCTTTGTCCCATTGCAAAGTATACAGGTTATACTGACTTATTTTAGTTAACTTATTTGTACTTTATTTTAGTTAGAAACGGTTACCTCTGGTTGACATAAAATTAGATTTGCTGTTATTTTAAACATGCTGCCATTCAAACGCCTTGGTGGGAAATACAGTTTTTCATTGCATCATGTAAATTTCAAACAAGCTGAAATTGTGTTAAATCATTTTAACAAGTTTAAATCAACTCACTTTGAAAATAATGGTTGTATTGCACGATTTTTTTATGAGATTTTCAACTCCTTTTAAATTAGAACTACATTTCACATCAATAGAAAACTTACTACATTTCTAACCTACAATTGCTTCCGAGTAAATATTGAGGGACTTTCTTCCATCTTAATCAGTCTTATCAGAATATAAAAATTTCAAGTAATTAGCAAAACACTTGCAATGAACAAACTAACTTTACCCAGTGTAAAAAATATTCACTGTGAAACAACTAAGACTTTGTTGGTTACAGCAAATCCAAACAAAATGAAAAAAAGTGAAACGGCACACGTGATATTTAATCTTTACTACGTATAAAATACCTAGCCTAGAATGATCAAAAACTAACACCTGTACATAAACGTAAACTTAAACATATTGAGGATAGCTACAAAAAGTATGGCATGCGACAGTTATGGGGCAATGATGTAGCTAACTTCAGTTATACTCATATAAGAACTGGTGTGTCAAAAGATTAAAGTGATGATAAAACTTCCTCCATCAGAAGTCTTTCTTAAATACCTATATAAAAGTAATGTTTCTGTAGAAAATTAATATTTAGAAAAATTAGTTTTTATTGTGTGTTAAGACCTTCAAGAAGAAAAATAATCACCACGTCTGCACATTATAGAAACACCACAAAGGCCTTAAACAAAAAACACATAAAATATATACTGTAGATATAGGTGAAATCTGGACAAAAACTATGAGATAGAAATTGAAATTATGTCTTATACGGAATTTTACATTGCTCAAACAAAATCAATGAACCGTATAGTGGCGGCTGGCAACCAGTAGTTGCTAAAATGTTAAAAACACTGTCTACTAACAACAATCAGTTTTTTTATCTTTCAATGTAAAAAATATGTTCCTAAATCCAAGAAGCATCATCAGCACAATTTTGAAGCTAAAAGACAGCAAACACAAAGTTCTTGTCAAATAAAACGTCTGCAAAAAAAAGGTTTGATATAGGTAATATGACAATTTACACATCTTGTGCATTCTAATGTTTGGTCTCATAAGACCTTTTTTGTCTTACTCTAGTGAGTCTAGTTCCTGACTTAAAACTTCAAAAGCCTATAACAAAATGTTACACATTTCTAAAAAAAATAATCTTCCTTCCTACCTATACATTAACTTTGAATTATAAAACTAAACAATAAACCATTTGTAGTAGACCTAATGTAATTCTGAAAAATCTAGATCAACAGTTTCCAACACTAATCTTATCATGTTGCACATAGACATAACACATGTAAATAAAAACCTATTACAAAAAAAACTTAATAAAACTAAATCCTTTCAGCATGCCATATTCAATATAAAAACGTGGTTAAAGCTTAACAATTTGGTGGATACATTTCTAACCTACGAGATTCTACAATACCGATATGTATTTCATACATTCAGACGTCAACAGAAATGTTTGATTTAAATTATAGACAGCAACAATAAGTAAGTTGAGCCCCGGAGCGCATCATTGGACCGAGGTTAGGTTAGGCCACATCACATGTGGACGAGTGACTAGAAATGCGATTGGCTACGAGACGATTCAGTCCTTGCGAGTCATGCTTTCACACAGCTCCTCCAGTCCTACGCTTTTCCTGTAACAAGCGTAGAATCGCATTTCAATATTTACAAATCTTGGAAGGAAATCTTGTTGCAGTTGTGATCGATTGTTTGATTTTTTTTTCAGTTACCAATGTCGTTCTATTAACGAATGTTTATTGACATGCAAGTTGTGTAAAATGTCTTTGCGATCCATATGGAGGAGTAGGTTCATTTTATTTGTGTAACTTTCTGCTTATTTGGATTTCTGCTTAGTATTAGTCTAAATTATAATAGGGAGAAGAAAAAAAACTTGGGAAGATTGCAAAATAAAACAGCTTTTTCAGGGCCTGATATTTTTAGGACTGGTAGTGACCCTACGACTGCCTTTTGAATCCATGGTAAAAGTAGAATGGATTAGAGAACTACCCAGAGAAAAAATGTGATTTTTAATTTCTGACCTGTGTTTGTCCTCGTTCTTCCAACTGCTAACAGCAATGTGAGGAGGTGGCAAGAACGACCGGAGGGATTGAACCAGCTGGATCGTATCCATCAGGGCTACAAATAAAACCAAAATTCTGATCCTTGTAGACTTCAATAGAGAAGAACTAGTCAATTAGATGGCAAAACACTAACAACAAGAACGTTTTGTTTTATCTTGGGTAATTTCTACACACTTGTAGCTTTACAAGTGCTTTGCAACAAACAGGAATCAAGAATATTACTCTTGATTTTTAATTGCTTTTATATTTTATGATTGTACTACGAGCAGAAAAACAATCAATGTTGTTTGTTACTGCACTCAAATTGCATTAGAAAGTATCATAACTTTAAAATATCAATTGAAATCGTACTATAGGTAGCCTATATGAAAAACTGATCATCAACATCTACAATTTAAAATCGCGAAATCTACTGAAATTACTGGAAGATCGTGATCACCTCCCGTGGTTGCAAAATAGTAATATTTTAATCGTGCAGTATTGGCAGACACTTTTTTTTGCAAGAACAAAAGGTTATCTAAAAAATAAGCTGCTTGCACATTTTTAATTTTAAAAACCCGACCTGAGACCAAAAATTACCAAAATAATTGGTCTCCCTTAGGACCAATTGTTGGCTGGGCCCAAACCACAAAATTTGGAAATCCACACAACCTTAATGTTACATATATATATATAGGAAGTCAATTTGGAACATAGTTTAACCTACTTTTTTGTAAAGCTTCAGATTGTTTCCCGTACGGTTTACACATTGCTGGACGCACACATGTCTTCATTCTTGTCATGTTCTTCATAATCTCTGAAAACGCTCGTACGATCTTCTCTTGACCAACTGTAAAAAAGGATATTTTTCAAAAATCTTAGCAGTATTTATATCAGTATTTAATTAGTAGTATTTAATACTTATTCAAGTTTGCATAGGTAAGCGAGTCTATTTTGAGTTTTAAGGCATGCTCCCTGGACTACGTCTCCAATGTAACAGTTGGAAACCCTCTAAGGTAGAAAAAACATATTTCGACCGCATTTACGACTATAAAGAATGAGTTTTAAGGACTTTAGTTAGTTACCTTCAGAAGATGAGTGATGTCTCTTGGAATCGAGAGGTTCCTGATGAGTCCAGGCTCCGTTGTGTACGGCCAGCAAATCCTGCAGACATCAAACATCTTCAGCATTGCAATCATCATAATATAGCATCTTGATTTTGTAACATCACAGTCTGATAAAATAAGCCAAAAAATACATTTGTTCATCTAAAACATAGCGAGGAATTTCTTTTTACTTCTGGGGATGCAAAACCTTGAAAGTTTTACATGAACCCAAGTTAAAATATACTTAACCATTGAGTGATAGGTAAAAATTAAAATATTACGATTTTGCAAACATTTTTAGCTAGTAATAGTGTTACTGTAAAAAAAACATGCTCTTATCACCATCCAATAGAAGAGCCTGGTAAAACTAACCGACAGAAGTTTGCTGTGCCTGTCTTCGGTGATAGGTCAGTATTTCACACTTGGACACGGCTCCCCATCGATGATAATGTCACACACAATGTGTTAAGACTATTTATTTATTTTAGCCTGGCCTGGTTTGGGCCATAGGTCCACTCTTACACCAGACCAGAGAGGTTTGGTTGAGAGGGGGAGAAGGAAAAGCGAGACCAAGATGGTTTAGACATATGAGAATAATGCAAGAAGTGATGATTCTTAGGAAAACGGAGTAGATAGTGATAGAAGGATTGAACTGGCGACCATGTGATAACCAAGCGAGCACTATAACCACACCAGCACCCCAATCTAAAGGGAAAGAGCCCATGAACAGGGTGTATACCAACCGGGAAAACCGGGAAATAACCTTGAATTTGAAGGGACCTGGAAAAACCCGGGAAATAGCCGGGATTTTTGGACCGAATCCGGGATTTTTATTTTAGCCCGGGTAGAAGATTGTAGTCGTAAAATGCGTCTTGCCGCGGTTGCGGGCGACGACGATGACGTTTTCGTGACCTCGGGAGACGACGATGACGTTTCCGTGACCGCGGGAGACGACGACGACGTTTCCGTGACCGCGGGAGACGACGATGACATTTCCGTGACCGCGGGGTCAACGATGATGTATACACTGCCGCGGAAAATATTCATGATTTTGCCGAGATCGCGGACGACGACGATGACGTTTCCGTGACCGCGGGAGACGACGATGATTATGTCTACACGGCCGCAGATGTTTATGATTTTGCCGAGATCGCGGACGATGGCGATGACGTTTTCGTATCAGCGAGAGGCAATGATGATGTCTACACAGCCGCGGAAGATTTTCGTGATTTGCCGTGACCGCGAAAGACGACGATGATGATTTCTAAGAGGCCGCGTGATATGCTCATGATTTTGCCGTGATTGCGGCCGACGACGATGAAGTTTCCGTGACCGCGGGAAACGACGATGACGTTTCCGTGACCGTGGGAGACGACGATGGTGTAGACACGGCTGCGGGAAATATTCATGATTTCACCGAGATCGCGGACGATGACGTTTCCGTGACTGCGGGAGGCTATGATGATGTCCACACGGCCGCGGAAGATATTCGTGATTTGCCGTGACCGCGAAAGACGACGATGATTTTGTCTACACGGCCGCAGATGTTCATGATTTAGCCGCGATCGCGCACGACAACGATGACGTTCCCGTGACCGTGGGAGTCAATGATGGTGTCTACACGGCCTCGGAACATTTTCGTTATTTTGCCGTGATCGCGGTCGATGACGATGACGTTTACGTGACCGTGGGAGTCAATGATGATGTCCACACGGCCGCGGATGATTTTCGTGATTTTGCCGCAATCGTGGATGACGATGATTACGTTTTCGTGATCGCGAGAGATGGCGATAATGTATACATACCGCAGGAGATGTCCAGGATTTTTCTATGGTAACGTAAGACTGTGATGACGTTTACGTCACCGTGGGAAGCGACCACACGACCGCAGGAAATATTCAGGATTTAGCCGCCGTTGATAATGTGTTCTTAAAAAATGAAGATAATATTCATGATTTTGCTGCTATCGAGAGAGACGATGTTTCCGTGGACTTAAGTAATGATGATAATGAAAATTATTACTATAATATGGATTATTACTTTTTCAACACTAGCTCACTGGACTTTGAAACAAATTTAATGTAAGTTTATATTGTATACTTAGGCTGCAAGTCTTAAATTGATTATAGTTTAAGTGGAACCAAACAAATACGCGGGAACCTGGAAAAACTTGGAAAAACCAGGAAAAAACCTGGAATTTCACTTTAATAAAATAGTATACCCCCTGATGAATAAAACCTACAACATAGATAGTTGAGGTGTAAATTGATGTTAGAAGAGAAAGGAATGGAATATAGTGGGGTCATTTTTTTGATTTTTTTTAATTCCAAAGACATGTTTGTATATTAATTACTTACCTTGTTAGCACTAGTTAGGCCATCTAAGTTCTCCAGGTTTGCCTTGAGGAAGTCCGCCAGTTTGTGTGCTTGTTGCTGCCGTACAGACGGGGGCTTGGCGGGGGGAGTCTCAAGCTCCGCCGAGTGACTGCTGCCTCCACCACCTGCACTACTACCACTGGACGTACTCTCTGTCGACCCTCCTACAGGTCCTGCAATAGCCATTTTAAATTATTAATAGGCCAATTTTTTCTTACAAGAATTTACAAGCTTAAAAAACTTGGATTTGTGTTCAACTACCCTTTAAATCACCAATTATCTTTTTTATTTATATTTTTTTTTTAAAGGGAAGAGTTCAAACCCTGGTCTTGTTACTATGTAACGTCAACCTTTTTGATAGTGTCATCACTTACCTTTTTTGGTTCATTCACAACCACTTTGTGTGTATCAACAAACAATTAAATTTTTAAGTTGTCTTGGTTCTAACCTAAACCTAACCTACCCAAACCTAAAATAACCTAAGCCCAAACAGGATTAATAAACAATTATAACATTTCAACCTGGAAAAACAGACATAGTGGTAGTGAATTAACAGAAAAAGTCCAGTCAGCTCTATGACAAACAAGATCTGCGTCCAGAATGTATCTTGTTTGGAATCAAAAAAGCACCCCATAACCACATAGCCTAAAAGAAAAACTTCTATCTCCCACTTTTTAGTTATTTGACATATCCTATTTCAGGGTGGCTAGTGAAATCACATTGAAAAATTCCCTGACTTTTGCCTGACGATTCCATGATTTTTTTAACTTTCCCTGATCGACAAATTCAAAATTACAATTTTAATACTAACTAAATCTTCAAAAGGACTAATCTTTATCTGAAGAATATCTTATGTTTGTTGACATGAAAAAAATACATAAAATCTATAGATACAGGCTTGTAGCTTATATTCAAATTTGCAAGTTGCCTTAATAAAGTTAAACAGAGTTTGATAAGATGATACGCAGTTTATAACAAAAATTTAATTTGTTCAAAAACACAAAATTTATTTGTACAAACATATTTCTTAGTTTTCACCTACACGGCATACGTACTCTCACCAGATCGACCTTTACTAACAATTATTTTAAACATTTTACAATTTTCCCTGACTTATGACAAAATTCCCTGACTTTTCCAGATATTTAATATTCCCTGACATTTCCAGGTTTTCCAGGTCACTCTGTATTTCCAGCCACCCTGTATTTTAACACATTCGCTACCGCAATAGTACAAAATTTGTCATTCAAATGGACCAGCGACGCACATATGCGGCGGTTAGTCACATTAAAATAGACTGACTTAGCATTTTTTACATTAGTGTTGGTGTTTCAATGTTATTAAAACGCTTAGCCTATATCTTTGTAACGGTTTATTTGAAGGCCTGGAATTCTCTGCAGTGGTCTACAGGGATGTCTGTTGCAAATCTGCGTCGCTTGGTCTATGAATATGATGATTGGTGACGTCATACAAGGCAATACAGTAGACCCCCTCTTAACCGACCCTAATGGGACCGGACCTAGGTCGGATAACTCAAAAGGTCGGATAAAACGGGCAATCCCTAAAATCATAACATAATGAAGTGCTATTCATTTCGAATTATATAATCATTATTTTGAAATCATACTTGCATTATTTATCAAATAATTTACTCTTATCTCCTTTTTCATATTGATAGAAAAGTCACAAATAAACACAAAGCACGGTTAAGTCAAATAGGTCTACTTTCAGTGGAATATATTATAATACTACGCAAGAGTCAATAAAATTCCTATTTTAATAACTTTAGTACTGTAATGTATTAATTGATGCTTTCCAAATACATCGTAATACAGTACAGAACCTTTTGTCGACAAAAGATACAAGCGACCATTTTGTTACAAGACAGGACGTTTATTTATAGCCTCTCACTGGAGGCTCAAGCACAAAAACTATCTTGACCTTGGAGTTGTTAACCCCCCTTCCCTACAAGTTGCACTGTTTGTTTACTCCGGCGATAAGATAATCAGTTCTCAAAATCGTAACGCAGTTTATGATGTTATAAGTTTGCCGCACGGATAAAAAATCAGATCAGATGTGCTCGAGCTACGAACGATGATGACAAACTGACAATAGGCTATGCTATATATTTTGTGATCAACACAAAATAACTTATTGTTAGTCATATCCTGTGGAGATAAGCGTATGGTTCAGTTCTCATCGCCCAGCGTGGGAGCGGAAATGCCGAGATTCCTAGAAAGCGGCGGTTAAACCGAGCTGCTCTCAAAGCAAAGTCGGTTAAAACAAACTGTATTATTTTACGATCGAAGGCGGATAATCCGATTATCGGTTAATACGAGGTCGGTTAAGAGGGGGTCTACTGTAGTTAGACAATTTATTATTGTAAAAAAATCTCATAAACCTCCGTAGATTTTTGATTTGTTTCATTAAGCTTTGAACACTATAATTCAATAAAAAATTTCAAATATTTTGGTCTGACTAATAGCAAATAACGTGCGGTGATGAGCTGCATTACGACGAGAGTCGACACAGTTCGCTAAAACACCCACAGATAGCAGCACTGCTTGGAACGTAGCCGGTTCCACCATATTGCCAATTAGAGGGAGATAAACGGGACCACAAGTTGATTTCTAAGCTTGCCAGACGGGGATTTTGCAGGGAAATTTACTACCAACCTGCACCACAATTATAGACTGGTATTAGAGACACAATACTAACGCTTAACAACCGTCCTCGGCTAGATCCTGAGCCATACTAACTTGAAAAACAATGTATTGCACGCTGTGTCCCCGGTGACACAGCCGCCTTGCACCTTGGCACGCCATGCGTCACTTGGGACGCAGTTGCAGCAAATTTGTTAACTGCCTCTCACAACACAAAGGCCTAACACAGAAATGTAACTTCAGTACCTGGAGGTTCAGGTATATACGTAGGTTTATTGTGAGCCAGCTCAAGCTGAGTTTTGTAGTATCTGCATGCTGGATTAGGACAGTTCTGCACCACCTCCACGATAAACTCCTTCTCCATTCCAAAGTTCTCACGTCCAATCGTGTACGAGTCCATTACCTGTTTAAGAGTCACAGGTAAGTAGAGTATTTAGAAATTCATGGTCAAAAATATTTTGACACTATACACCAGTGACAAAAAAAAGCATACAAATACTAATTTTCTACTTTTAATCTTGCACTTGCCTTTACGCATAAGTTACCAAATTGAGTAGGTGCTTTAACATGTCGTATTCAGAAAGCTAGGAAAACCTGCCTCACCTTGAAGTAAAATAAACTAAGTCTAAGATGAAACTGAATGGTAACAACACAATTTCGTTCAACATTTAGACTTGTTTTAAGGTTTTTGAATGGCCAAAGAGAATTTAAGGTAGGCCTTATAGGCCTAGTTAAATATTTGTTAGTTGGAAATTAATAATTTTACGATCCTAATCTACAGTGAATAAGCATTCTTTTGGCCTATTGTTTGAGTAAACACATATTTTAAGCTATCCTATATGAAGATGAAGTATGCATCCGACCAAAACTAGACCTCTAAATTATAATGTAGGCCTCTAATATTTAAAACCTAAAAACGGCAAATCCGTAAATTTTAATATAATATACAGGACCGGTTTCTAGAAACTTTTCTAGCCACAGAGAACAACATTCCAGCCCCACCCCCCTTAAAAACTTGTATGTGAAAGGATGAAAGGATTATCTCTAGAGGGATAAAAAAATACAGGTATATAAAAGCTTAAAAAAAAGAACATTCAAAATGTCTACCCTACTATTCAAAGTGGATGATAAAGGGGTGCCCAACAAACGAGTCCATAAATTTGTGGGAGTATGCAAAAGGATTTCACCTTCCAGTGTATGATTCATCCTAATGATTAATAATAGACAACTCCTTAGCCTACTCCTACAGTCCTACAATTTGGAGACGTAAATTAACTTTCAACCTCTAACGTTGCATCTAACACTAGGTATAAGAAGCGGAAACGCATGGGCCTACAGGGAACACGAGTCGGTTATAGTTTCAAAGATATTGAACTGGGAGCCCAACCAGTACTTTTGCTGCAATGGTTTGGTGATACGGATGTGCCGATTCTCGATAGGTACCACTGATACTTAGACATTGGTATTGGTATCAAGAATCGATCGAACAAACTGATACGGATATACCTGAGATCGTGTGATACCTAAGTCTGCAAAGATTGTGTGATTTTAAAAAAATACTTCTTTTGCTGCGATGATGTTTACCGTGACATTGGGAGACAATGATAATCTACACGGCCGAGGGAGATGTTCATACTACAGTAGTGTTATAGCCTATTCAATTAATCTTTTTCTTTAATACTGGACATTGAAGAGAACTCAGGCGCCCCCTATGCTTGGCGCCCTACGCGACCGCGTACTTTGCTTACCCCTTAAACGGGCCCTGAGAATAGCCTATATTATATTTGAAGGATATAGACAAATTGTTATTTGTTTACTTTCATTTAGGCTAATTAAATTATTAGGGTAGTTTTCAACAGAACAGTAGGATATTGTACTTGACATTTTTTTTAAACTAGTAACTTAATTTAAGTGGTAGGTCTTTTGAGGTCTTTATTCTTGACCGACACTTTCGGATGAATAAAGTCGGGGTTTTCTCCAAACCTCATAGACTAAAATAAAAGTACCTAGCCTACAGTATAACCTACTAAAATTCAAAATGCTAAGTTAACTTACAGCTCTGACAGTCCCCTCCACCCCCAGGTGTAGACCATGGGGGCCATTCATATGTTTCAACATGACTGCGTTAGCAAAGTGTTCAAACGGTAATATTATTTTACCATTTTCCCTTAATACCAGCCGACCTTGAGAGTCTAAGGTAACACGGTTCGCCATCATTCTGTAACAGAAATAGGTACATCGTCAAATATACTTGTGAAGGAAACCCAAACTTAAAACCCAATAACTTAAAAGCTTATTGGATTTATTCCTTAATATTTACCATTTTTACCATCAGGTGTCTTTTCCACAATCCAGGGATCGGGGAATCGTCAAACTTCTTCCTGGGACCAGGGTAAACATGGGTTTGTAGGCCTATTCATGTCTCAGGTGTTGGAAAGTGTGCTCTACAATTAATTCGGAGACTGTGTAGTATGGCCTATCTATGAAGTATTGTTTTAGTTTACTATTGAAGATGTACTATTGATAAAGATGTAGGCCTACACTGTGACAAAAGGGGGTGTTTGTTTGGTAGTCATACAAATCAGAAAAAACATAAGTTATACCCATATGTGTGGCCCATGGGAGATAGATTTCAATGATTTTATGATGAAGGCTCATAAAATAGCCTTCATAAAATAGCCTTTAGGTTATCATATATTCCGAGAAATGATTGGGCCAATGTGTTATTCTAAAGCCTTAACTTACGTATATCTGTAGGATGTATTGAAATAATTCGTTTTTATGCTTATGCTGAAGTAAGTTACATAGTGAACCAGACAAACAATTATAAATCATCATACAGCTAGGGCCTAGTCTTTCATAAAGTAAATTTAGTCCAACTTGTGCCATCTCTAAGATGACCAAACTTAACTTACTGCAGATATGAAGCACTGGGAAGCATTGAGGATTCCTTCAATTCTGTAAAACACTGTAAAAATTCTACTGAATGATTCCATCCTTTGTTTTGAAGATAGAGTTGCAAAAGCATATACAACTTTTCTGTCACATAACCTGCCCCTTGAAATGGTGTTCCCATTTCTGTTTGTATACTTTTTGCATTCGCGACTAAATTTTTCATCGTTTCCGAAAGCCCAAGCCCTAAATCCATGGTCGGTAGGTAGAAGTCTAGAAGGGTCCTCAACCTCTAGCGTCTCGCTGTCAGATTAATTATCAAAATTCTGCAACTCCAACTCAATAACAGTCAGAGCAGGAGATGACGGAGAGGAGATGATGGTACAGGTACAGACAGAACAGACAGACAGACATGACAGAGACAGAACAACGCCCATGCAAATGCTGATGAGCAGCTGACTAGCGCTAGCAGCTAGCAGACTCAGAGGCAAAGAGTAGAAAAAACGATATGTCAATAATAGTGTATACAAATATTGATTACAAATACTGTATGTACTAATATTGATTACAAACCGGACGATCAATTAGTAAACAGTTGATTAAAATAATTTGATTGGTTAGGTACGTTTCCTTATTTTGTAGGAAGACATGACTTTGACTATTTCAATTATACCATAGGCATAGATGTGATTTTAAATGCAGTGCAGATAGGTCATTGATTAGGAGGCCATGCCCTAAAGAAATTGGCCTGTGGGGCGTCCTTAAGAAAGTTCTTTCATCCAAACAATTTTCCGCAAATTTACTCACTTTAAGCTAAATATTTTTGATGCCATATGCCTAATATCGTTTTATATTTGGTTCTATCATAGATAAAACATACTCCTCAAGGAGCTCAAGGAGGAGTATGTTTTATCTGTGGTTCTATTATTGCCTTTAAAGATGTCCACAAACTTTGCCTTATCAATTTTTTGTTATATGTGTTTAAGATTCACAGTTTCATTAAACCACTGTGGGAAGTAATCAATATACAGTATGTAATTACCACGATTACTAGAAAAATAATTACAAAAAGAAACAGAATGGGATGCGGAATACTATCTCCCGGAAAACTACCTCCCAAGTGAAACGTGACGTCACAAAATCTGCTAACTAACCAATATGGAAGCCGTGTCCGCGACTGGAATACTACCCCCCCTAGACAAATAATGCTGTGTAATTTTAATTTTAATTCGAGTAATTCCGTTGGATAATAGAAAATGCATGTGGTGAATATAAAACATTTTCGATTTTCAAAATGTAACAGCAAGTTTGGTTGGTTAGGTTAAGTTAGATTAGAACTGTTTGACAACTAAATTTGAGTGTCCGTGACTGTAAAACTGCCCCCCCCCCGGTCTCTGACGTCAATATGACGTAGGAACCTGCTTGGGGGGGTAGTTTTCCGGGGGGCAGTCTTCCGGCTCCGGCGACCCAAACAGAACGAATAAAATAGCTTTATACAGAGTTACATGACAACAAGTCGAACCTACTAAACAGCAAAATTAGGAATAAGAAGAATTTTCTCTCTACATGTGGGAGTAGTGGGAGTGGATTGGATTCACTGAGCTAAAATTATAACTGGAGGTAGCACTGCCATCATGGAAGAAGTCTGTCAAAAGCGTGTCGCTGATTTTGTTAGGTTGGTATAGCAGCAGGTTTTTTCATCCAATAACATGGCTTCTATAATAACTAGGTTTGCATAGCAGTGAGTTTTTTCATCCAATAACATGGCTTCTTTATAACTCACACCTCACGCAAACATGGCGGCTGGCGACACGCATCGTTGACATTCAGTGCTACCTCCAGTTAGAATTCATTATAGCTCAGTGATTGGATTGGAACTATTGGAAGAGAAGAGAAATATAGAATGAATGGTGTGGTGTGGTGACTGGTGTTGCTGTTTGTTTACGTTTGACATGTCAGTAGTAGTAAGTAATTTTCTTTCTTCAATCTTCAATAAGAGGTTAGTTAAGTCAAGTCATTTATTTATTTCATATCAAAAGTTACCCTGTTTACCTTCGTTATATTTATCTGTGGCTTAAAATTAATTTCCTAACAAACTCCACTTGGAAACTCGTAAAATATAAGTACTAGGCTACACACCTAAATTAAATTGTAGGTGCAAAATCACATTAGAGATGTTTTACTAGATGTAGGTTGTCCTAGAAATACAGTAGAATATCAAGCCGATGTTTCCCAGACTTACCTGAATGTCTTCAATTTATTTATTTTCATTTTTTTGTATGGATAGCCTCCAGATTACCAATATACACTAAAAGTGGTTTAATTACCTGTATTGTTGGTAATCCAAATGGTTGCTGTTGAAACTAGTTTCAGCTCACGATGGAGCCATCATAAGGCTTTACAAGCACTTTGTCACTTCTTCTGAAGCTCAATATTTACAAACGCAAAACGTTGAAAGCACCGCATGACTAAGTTTTTGCGATGCGACCGGCAGGAGTTTACGTCTAGACTATAAACTCCCACCGGTTGTGCCGTAAAAACCTAGTCCAGGTATATTTAGCACACTCCCTAGGCATCTAGACATACATTAGAGTCTTCCCCGTACTAAGTTATCACGTTTATTTTAATATCACTAACCAGCTCGTATCCCACATAAGTTAAGTTACATATTTTTAGTAGGTACCTATTTTGAGAGCTATGGTGTAAAGGACCTACCTTCTTAAGAAAAATACCCCCGCCGCAGCTAACCTGCCGACTAAGCGAATTTCCATTTGTCTGAATTGATTTTCAGTTAAATATATTTTAATAACATTAGGTTTAACGAGTACCTAGGTTTGCTGCTACAAGGAAACTAATAAAGTGTGTTTTTCAGTAAAATATTGATAGCTTAGTACAAAATAAATAAATTTGCCAAGTTTAATCAAAATATATTCATAAACAAGCAAACTACAACATTTGACAATATTCTCCATAAGAATAACATGGGAATTTTAAATTTACAATTTTTTTGATTTTCTCCGTTACTAACAATCGAACAAAAATACTTTTATATACTAAATTATTTGTTTTTTTAAGCTCTTTAAAAAGGTCTAGAGAGAAATTGGGAAATTTTGTGTTTTGAGGGTCAAAAGTGAGAAAAACCAATTTTTACCCCATATAAAACCCCCCGTAAAGCCCCGTTCCCATGGTCCGATCGTGCTGGTTCGCGAACTCATTCAAGTTTATCCCGCTTTACACCTTTAAAACAAATTTCATCAAAATCGGACAAAAATTACTCACGTTATCGCGTTCACGGACGTATATATATATATATATGTATATAAAAGTCTATATATATATATATATATATATAAATTTGAACGAATAGTGTTTTTGGCCTCTGGGGACATCAAAATGAAAAAGTCAATCGGTCCCGGGTCTAGGTCTTACCGTGCCACCTACGGTAATAGCTACTTCCCTATAGGGAAATTCGCTAAAATGTGCATTACTGGCCATGTTACATGCTGTAAAAGACTTCTCATCCCAGCTACAATATTTTGCTGTCAAGGATAGGCTTTAATAAACTACAACATTTGAATGTAGCTTATAGCCCAGGGTCTCCTTACCTATTTTGTAGGTACTATTCATAAATAATACACTGTATAGATGTACTAATTAGGCAAAAATAGATGGATAGGTTAAGTCCATTTTTTTCAAACCAATGTTTATATTGTTTGGCAATACATTTGTTTCCCAATGCCATCTTAATTTTATTTAAACATTGTATTAAAACTTTCCTTCTAGGAGCAGTTATGGACACTTTGTTTGCTGACAGAGTTTCCAAAGTAACTCTCGACCTGTACAATAGTCTTCCCAAGAAAGGAAAGCCTGTGGCTGGTAAAGAGTGGACGACATTATCTAGTATCGTAATGTCTCTGGATGAACAGTTAACTGTTGTGGCCATGGCAACAGGGACAAAGTGTTTAGGCCAAAGTCAAATGTCTCCACGTGGAGATCTTGTTAACGACAGCCATGCCGAGGTAACTTAATTTTACATAGTTTTATTCAATATCATGCAATAAATGACAATTAAAATATTACGTAACCAGATCATTATTATTTATTCTATTTTTAAGCTATTTTTGTGCTTCATGCATTAAAAACCCATCCTAGCTATAGTGCACAGGGCGATCACCCGAGTTGCTCGCCCATACGAATGCCATGGTCTACTTGGTTGAATTTAAAGACTGAGAAAGAAGTTATTCCTCCAATGTTATTTTATTGTAATAAACTACTTAAATTCTTCGTCTGCTATTTTGAAGCTGGAACATTATATTTTACAGGTTCTTTGTAGAAGATGTTTTCTGAGATACTTGTATGATCAGATCAATAAGTTCAAGAATACAGGTTCCTCTGAAATAATAATTAGCTGCGACAAGAACAGATACAAAGTTAATCCTAATATTCAATTCCATTTTTTTACCAGCCACGTACCTTGTGGAGATGCGTCGATCATAACAAAAACAATTAGCAATGTAAAGAGAAAAAGTGAATTGGAAGATGAACTGCTTGTAAAGCGGCAAAAAGTTGATGCACAAGTAATTGGTGAAGAAAATGACAGTGAATTCAGCATTGAAAATGGTATGTTTCCTAGATTCATAAAAATAACAGTATTTTTATAGGCCTAGTTTGACAATAGTTTTGAGTTTCGTGCTAAGATGAGTGTTTTCATTTGTTAATTTTTCTTCCCATTGTAACTGCTGCCCTGCCTGCAACTAAATGATTCTTTGTAAGGAAAAATCCAAACAAATTAATTTCAACAATTGCTCATGTACCCTATTATATTCTCACCTAATTAGCGTTCCCTTTGTTCCAACATTTAAATCTGTGGTTTTCCTCTTAATGTACTTTTTCTGTAAGTTATGTTTTTTCTATGTTCTTTTCATAACTTGTTTTTGACTGTATGTGGATTTCTCCTATGATGCACTTAAGCTGAGACAAAGGACACTGAGGGCTGAATGAGTAGGATAGAAAAGGCCTTTGCCTATTGCAGATTTACAGTTTAGAGAAATATATTGTCGCATTTGAGGTACTTTCTTATTGCCTCGTTAGATAAGCCTATGGCTTTAGGTGGGCTACCAAATCAAGTTATAACAAATAGGCCTACCCAAAACAAAACAGATGAACTTGATTCAAACTCGTCACTGCTATCATCTACGTAAAATACACAAACTACAACCAGATTTGTATAATGCTCTTCAAATAATGTTTTTCTGGTTTACTCTATCTCTCTTAGTTCTAAAACAATAAGCATTTGCCAATTACTTGCACAGGTATTGGAGATAGTGACTCTACTAAAGACGTTGACTGGGAGATGGAGGTGGGGCAAGATGTCCACAGAACAGGGGCCAAATGTGTGGCAGGGACAGACCCTAAGTTGGCGGGGATAGCCTATCACACTGTTGGGGCAGTTAGGACCAAGCCTGGCCGAGGGGATCCGACACTCTCCGTGTCCTGCAGTGACAAGATGGCTCGATGGATTGCCTGTGGCTTACAGGTTAGTGTACATTTAATAATAAAAAAAAAATCTGCCCATGAAATGCATTTGAGAAAAAAAACTTGAATGAAAAGATCAACCTTTACTCCTAACATTAAAACAATACATTCAAACAATCTGTCAAAAAACCTCATTGTGAAAACGTAAACAAACTTTAAAACATACGTTATTAAAAATGGTGTGAACATCTATATTAAGTAAGCCTTAAAAATAAAAGAAACATTTTATAGCAAAAATAATTAAATACTAAAATTAGTTTATTGGCCATAGTGCATACAGTGCCGGATATACCATTGGGTCGCAGCCTTAGGCTGTATGCAAAAGAGGGTTGCAGAGTATTGCATAAAAACATTGTTTACCTAATAACAAGAGCTGATTTTTTTGTGTTTAAATTAGGTATTAATTTCTGGTGATTGCGGGTGACGATGATGATGTCCCCATGATTGTGAGAGATGTTCAAAATTACACCACGGTCGCTGGGAAGTTCAACCTATGAGTTAAGCCTGGGGCTGCAAGTTCCAGCATTGCAATTCTGTTGCTGCAACAATGCTCATGACAGATGTTTTTTTTCAAGACTCCACATTTTAAGATTTCACTCCTTAAGGTTCTAATGTGCCAGGTTCGTTCCTCTAAAATACACTCTGCTGCTTTATATGTCTCTAGGGTGCCCTGTTGTCACTACTGCTGTGTCCAGTAGTGCTACACACTGTTGTGGTGGGTGGAGGAGGGCCATACAGCAGAGAGGTACTAGAGAGAGCTCTGCTGACTCGTACTGGTACTACTCATCGTCCCACTCTGTTGCGCAGCTCCCTTGTGTTCCCAGAGTCAAGATATTGTGTCAGCGACTCTGCCAAACCCTGCCCTTCAGCTATTTTGTGGGTTAAAGTCAGTCAAAAGTAAGTATATTCAATGTATTAAATATTAAATTTTGTCAGTAGCTTCTTGGTGGTGTAAACTGCACTGATTTTTCTTTGACGATTCGGCTAATCAATTTTTTTTCTTTTTTGGAAACGGGTTTGCTCTCGTACTAGGCGTGTTGTAAATTAAGGTCTTGATGGACCTCTCGTCCTAGCCAAGCTACTAGTAAACCGTCAGAATAGTAGTAGATGAAGTAAGGAACCAAAGTGTCTAGAGCGAGTATTATCGTTGGTCTCAGATATGAACTAGCTGGCTTGGCTGTAACAGAAGCTGAATGGAGATCGTAATTTATGGAAAACCCTCAACTGTTCATTATTTATATTTTCTTATGTTTACCCACTCACAATTATTTAGTCAATATGGTAAATAGAACTAGTCTTTTGGCCCTTTCAATAATTGTTCATTTATGTTTCACCAATCGCTGCCTTAAATACACTAGCTGGTATGTCAGAGCTGTATTAATCTAATATCACAATTCTCCTGAACTACATAATAGCTTTGAATACTGTATTGATGATCTGTTGGTTGTTTGCAGACCGCTGGAGGTTTGTGTGGAAGGCAGGAGACAAGGTGCTACCAAGAAATGTAGAGACAACGGTCGACTCATGGTCTGTAGGCTGGAACTGCTCAGGAACTTTCTGTCAATCACTTGGGATAGGTAAGAAAACTGTATATATATAGTAGGTCTCTTTGAAACTAGGCCTACATCCTTGTCAGGACTTAAAAAAATCCTGACTATATGAAGTGAAATAAAAAAATGAGAAAATACTTACCAAATCACACACAAAATTATAAAACTAAAGTTCCATACTAAACTATTAATGAATGCTAATATAACCGTCTTACAGCACTTGACAATGAAACCCGAGTTTGTCTTTGTTACTATAGGCAAATTGGTGCACCTTGTGATCTACTCAGATCCATCAGAACCATCCCAAGTGCAAACCCAATGTAATTGAACAAGAAGGAACTTAATTGTGATTAATCTATTCAGTGCTGGATTTAGGGTACTTGCGGGCCTAGGCGAAACTAACGTGAGAATCCCCTCTCCCTTATGAGAAACTTCCCCAGAGGAGGGCGAGGGTGGTGGTGTTGGACTCTACTCTAGACACCAGCATTACTGCTAGACACCACTTAAGAGTACCATTGAATGTATCCTATGTACCTTACTTCTCTCTGGCTCATTTCAAGTATAGGTTTCAACCGTTTAGTGCGGTAAGCTTAAGACAGTTGTAATTCAATGTTTGGTTATGTTACATTTTTATGGCTGTCTATCAGTCTTTAATTTTCAAAAGGTTGAGTATTCCCTTATTCTCTAGTAACAAAATGTTTTTTTAACAGGTTTTCCAAAATGACGTACAGTGACATCAAAGCCACATCCGAAGAATACCAAAGCGCATGGCTTCGAAGTAAAAAAAATCTTGGAGTTTGGACTACTAAACCTAAACATCTTCAAGATTTTGTGCTACACTGACTTTATATTGTGTAAATAAATACTGTAGTTTGTTATGTTTTACAAAAACTTTTGGAATTTTCACTTTTATCCTCTAAAGAAGTAAAAATTCTTTTGAATCCTTATAACTACACACTCGTGCGTTTTTGTGTGGGCTAAGCAAAGCATGCCCTGATGCCCGAAATGAGCCGGAAGGAGCTATATTCCATAGCGCACAGCGTAGCACAAGACGATCCACTAGCCCTTAATTTCTGAGAGTTTTAACTTACAACTGCTTTAACCCTCCGAGTGTCATGCGTCGCTGCAGCGACTCACGAACACTGTTTACGGCAAAGGCTCTATGACTGACTGAATCGGATTGAACTGGATCGAGTTAGGTATCGTTCTTTTCGTTAAATTATAAGCTTTCTCCAGAGGTCTGTCTCAGTGCTGTATGTTCTCCGAGCCGATCGTAATTGTAGCAGACAGCTGACGTGCGTAATTGTAAACAGCTTGGTTATCCTCGGACCGATGACTGATGTGTTTTATTACGTTTATCATTGTTTTAGTGTTAAAAATCAAAAGTAGTGATATACGTGGTGCATTATAAGAAGATTTAAGTGATTTTGAAGGGCTGGTTGATGATCCTGAAGAAGTAGGTAGTGATATTGATGTAAATTATCAGCCAGATTCCTAGCTATGGTTAGGCTATGCATTCTTAGCTAAACGCAATGTACTGAAATCTGTTTTTCACTCATAACTTATTTATTTGATAACTTACCTCACTATATGATTATATATTTGTAATCCTCATAAAATTTAGAACAAAGTGGCTATTTTCAAATATTTATAGGCCTATAATTTATACAATTTCATTGAGCGGGAACTTATTTTATTATTTTTTTTCCAAAATATTTTTTTTTTACCTAAAAATTTTTTTTTAACAATTGTTCCTTATGTTTTATATATAATATTGAAGCCCATGATTTTCCAAACAAAATGGTATATAGAACAGTATAATTAACATTGTTTTTAAGCTTCTCAGATCCGTTTTAATAAAACCTTGCAAATGAGCTAAAAATAGGCAGACATTAAGGCCAAAACAAGGGACACTTGGAGGGTTAAATTATTTGACAAGTCTTCCTTGTTGTAGTTGTTTAAAGCATATTGAATAACTGAGAAACCTCAGAATTCATAGAAGATTATCGCTCTTATTTATGTTAGTCTTATAAGGAGTAATAAAATAATAAATTTAATTAATTAAACTATTTTAAAATTGATTGGTTGACTGGTTGTCATGCTGGTGACGAAATAACAATGAAATATAAACAGCAAATCAAAACAAATGGAAGTAATTCCAATCACATGTTTTATTAAGAGGCTGGGGTGAAAATAGAGTACGCTGCAGTTTTGAACCATCGTAGAGGTATGAAACCGCACAGCATCGAACCAGTGACTTATAGATTTGTTCGTAGGCAACTGAGCTACCGAGCTAGATTTAGTTTATAATTCAAGCTAATGCTTCATTTTTCTGAAATGTTACCTCTACTTGAAATGTCAAATATAATTATTTCCAAGACAAAATTAAACTGTATGGGGTATTTTCTCCAACTTGTTTTCCTTTCACTTCAAACATTACAATAAAAACTATTAAAAATTTAGTAAGGATGGAGGGATAAAAATATTTTTCAAAATGTTAACCCGGTTTCAAGAACTTGAACTAAATTAATAACTTTGTTTTTGCTCCCTTTTTGAACTGAAGATGACAATGCAAGGTAATCAACTAAATACCTATATTTATTGATCCATTTTACAACATGATCTTACAAATGAATCATTAGTATAGGAAATCATAGATTAAACGAACGCCCTTATCCTTGACGTATTTTCTCACAATGTAACAATCAAATAGGTTTTGTATAGGCGATTTACTGACTGTTTAAAGACTGAAGCTAACTACAACCATTGACTATACACCTCTACAGAGAGGTATAGAGGTGTATAGCATAGACTAAGCAACACAATAGTCAATGCTACAACCTTGGAACACAGTAAGACATAGGTAACATTTAATCTATCTATATCAAAACATTACTGAACATGAAACATAAACTAGTCAGACGTACATTTAGAATGATTGGTCTACTTGCAGGATCTAAAGTCAATGGTACAATAATAACTGTACAAAATTAACGATATCTGCCTCCCCTTCAAACAGAGTGAGGTTAGAAATATACTCATGTGTTTTGTAAATTGCGTGGTTTTTATGAAGGCGCGGCTCAAATTCCTGGATTGCATCATCCAGAGTAAATCCGTATATTTGACCAATGTCTTAGTTTTCTGACAAATGTAAGCACTAAATAAAATAGTAATTACACAGAAGTTTCAGTAATAGCTCCACTCTATTCTGCGTATAAAAAAAAACTAGAAGTCATTCTGTGGTCGAAAACTCTACCAAAAATATGTAATGTACATACATTTTTCTAGTATTCGTGGCACATACTTCTCTATTTTCACCCTGCGCCGAGGCAACACTACCTACGATCATAGACAAAAAGTATTTAATTCTTTTTGTCTGTGCTACGATGTAAATAAAACACGTGATTGGAATTTCTTCGATTTGTTTTGATTTTCTGTTTATATTGCGTTGTTATTTCGTCACCAGCATGGCAACCCGTAAGGTCCATGTTAATTTAAAAACAAAATTTTAAATTTATTTTTTGTGCTTATTTTTGAGCCGAGATGAAGGTACATCATGTATGTGAAAATGTTATTTAGAAACTTAAGTTTTTCCATGGATAAAACATACTCCCCTAGGATTTTCTCATATCAGCATACACAAGATTTAAAATTAATCAAAACCAAAATGGCAGTTTCCACTACTTACCAGATTTAAAAGCCACACACGTGTCTTTAAAGACTATAAAAGTTTAATTTTGTTTCTAAAAGCGTTGGCGGATGTGTAACTATACAACAGATGTAAAGATCAACATGTCTCTATTTCGTATCCTCTTCCCGTTGCAAAGCACGGGTACACAGATAGTACAGTATATGGATATTAAAGTATTGTTTATTTTCCGAGCAGCCTAAAATCAGCTGTCTGAGCTGTCCCATTGTCAACTCATATTAGTAAATCTATTCATGGCTTCTTTTTACCAACAAAGTGTTGCTTAAGTTCTAGGCAAAGTCAAGGTTACTTATGAAAAAGTTACACTTACTGAGGCTTCTGTGGTTTTTTTTTTTTTTTTTTTTTGTATGTACATAGTACATCAAAATCACTTTAGTTGAATATGTTAAATAAATCTGTTTAATAGAATGTTCTCGCTCAAGAGACATTTAATTTTTTATATGTGGACTTACAGTACAATTCAATACGGGCTACGAATTCCAGGGTCTCTGCCTATCACATAGATAATAACTAGTGATTAACGGGATTTGAACCCGAAACTTCAGGAAGTCCAACGGAACTATACCAACAGCTCCGATAAAACCTCAGTTCGATACAAAACCAATGCAATGCTACACAATCTCACTATGTCGTTTTGCACTAACCCGTATAGCAAAGTAGATAACAAAATATTATCATAATGCCGACGGCCTGTTCTACATTTATGCTACTAGTAGAATGGCGCGGTTTAGAGTAATAATTATATTAACCGCTACCGTAGCATGCCTAGCCCTGCCTCCAGGCTAGACATTGTTTATAGTCTGGACACATGTTATAGTTAGTATTGCAGTATGTAAATACATACGCATTGTGGTGGATATTTGCTCTAGGTTGCCTTGTTAAAATGGTATCCGTGTACGCGTTTATTTTGTGAGTTTTTTTGTAGGTAACAACTTTGAATATAGACAGTACAGTTAAGTAGGCGTCCATTTTCACGTTAATGTTGCAGCTTGGTTAAACATGGTTAAACCAAAGAGAAATCAATTGACTTTGGATTCCATAAATTTTCAGTGTGAACACGACCCAGATTACAAGTACAGTATTAAGAGACACTGAGGCGCTCATGAGTTGGCATCCCTGTATCTTTTACTTCATTGTCGAACAGCTGGTATACATTTTTCATAAGGAGTGTAGTATGTATTGTAGGCCTACGTTTTTTCTTCTACTCCGGGTTCCTTAAATTGTAAACAAGTCTTTTAATAGTTGATTTAGTTTATACTGGAATTTTACGCCTGGAAACATGATTTCAAACTTTTTTGTATAAAACCAACGATTTAGTCTTAGTGTCTACTCTTTTAGCTTGGTTAACACCATGTTGAGTATTATGGTCTTATTCACAATAAATTCCTACATAAGACTAAAACTTTTAAACAACGATACAACAATGCTTATCAGCTGATCGGCTATGAAGTAGGCTAAAGAAAATAGGGGTTACAAAATTAATTATGAGCTAGTTTTTCTTGATACTTGTAATTTGTTTTGCGTTAAAAACCCCTGTTCTTCTCATTCTTTTAGAACATTTTAAGTATTCTGTGTTCATTGTTTAGTTAGTATTATTTGACGTCGCTGATGACAAATAAATGCTCTATTATTTCAGGATGGACTTTAGTTATCGCTTTACTATTCGATTGACGCTTAGGACAATCAATAAGCTAATAGTTTACATTACAGGCGTATGTCAGTATTCAGTAGAGACAAAATCGAAACCCTTTGTAAACTACCCGTCAGAAACAAACATTGACTTCAATTGACAAAAAATTGAATTGACTTCTAACGATAAATAAGAAATGTCGATACTAGTGTGTTCAATTCATTTAACAGAAAAAAAGCCTACAAATCCATAGTTTAACTATACATTTTATTTTGTTTGCTTACTTCTAATTGCAATGTATTTTACCATTTTAGAGGTTATAGAGTGGTTCATCCCCTAGTCATATTACTTATTAACATTAATTTTGTATACTATAATTAATATCCCAGTGACCAATGGCATTGATCCATAATCAGACCACTAACCTTATCAGGTTGTGGTTGTGATTAGTGATACAATGACAACTTAATTAAATTAAATTCAATTATTTGAGACAAATGACGCACACCTTGCTACACATGTAAACTAA